TTCAGGAGGCTGTGGAGTGAGACCTGGAGGATGTGCAAGGTGAACACTTGTCATGAATTTTACTTTTCTCTAGTGAGTTTTATGCTTTTGCCCACAAATGCTCAGAAACAGATGAACATGGCCCTTCTGACACTTTCAGCAAATGACCTCTGGCAGTCAGGAGCATGATGCCAACGGGGAACTGTTGTTTATGTCTTTGGATGCAGCTTCAGGGAAGTGCCCACCCCATGCTACCTACCATAAACATGTCAGCTGTCAGAGACTTGTCTGCATGGGGTGCTCAGCTGGGGTGGCAGGATGGACAGGCACACATTTCACATGAACTTGACACTGTCACCCTGTGTCATGAGTGTCTGTGGCCATTTAGTGTCCCCACAGCCTGGCTGAGCCATGCCATGCTGAGGACTGAGCAGCTTGTTTGGGGTGTGCACTTTGCCCTTCCAGATGGCTTTGTGCAGCTCAGTGGCCTCCAAATAAAGTCTGTAGATTTATACTTGAATGGTTTAGGATTTATACTTGAAAGGTTTAGCACCTTTGCTGCTGTCAAAAAACTGTGCAACTGCTGCTTGAACAACTGTCTGCTGTCTGACTGGCTGCAGGCCCTTTCTGTCTGCAGTGTTGGGCCTGAAAAAGCTCTGGAGAGTCCCTGTGGAAAGGCTACAGTGGATCAGGTCACTTCACAAACATACTGGCACTGTATCAGTCAGAGTGGCACAGGTTCAAGTTGCACAGTTTTGGGTGTTTTGCTCTTACATGAATGGGAATCTTGTGAGTCAAATGCTGCAGCATTACAGGCAATCTTTGATTTACATGTTCGTAGACATGAACATATGTCTGTGAACGTTTATGGCTCTGGGTAAATCTCTAAAAACCTCCAGGGACTGCCTTCTACAGCCTTTCTGGACAACCTATTCTGGTTGTGCACTGCTGCCTGATAAAAAAATTTGTTTCCCAATATCCATCCAGAACCTCACAATTCACAGCCATTGCCTCTTGTATTATTTGGCCCTACAGAAAAGTATTTTGTTGCTGTTGCAACTGCCTGTCAAGTAGTTGTAGGAATTTCTTGGAGTTGTTGCCATTTCCTTGGAATGAAGATTATCCAGGCTGAACAATAGACTTTTTTGTTTCTTTTTGGTTTTTTTTTCCTCTGTATCTTGGTATTCCATTTCTTGGTGCATTAAAATGGATTTGCATCTGGGATTTCATACATGTGGCAAAGCTTCTTGACCATTATTTAATAGACCCATTTAACACAATTCTGGTATTGGTTAGGGGCAGCCTTTTTTTGAGAAGTTGTGAACATGCCTTTCCATAGCTAACACTGGAGCAAAGTGGAGTCTCCAAGGACTAGACTCAGTGAATGGTCTTCAAATTCACTACTGGTGGATGTCCTCATTTTTCAGGGAAATTCTTAACAACACTGTTTTGCTGCTTTGTCCCTCCAGTGGGACAATCTGTGGGCTTAGTAAGCATTAGAAGAGCTGTAATGCTGATAGGACCATGTTGTGAACTTTCCTGTGGAGAAATGCTGAAGTCTTGAACACCTGAAAGCCCTTTGCCATCTGGCTCAAAGGACAGTGTGGTAAATCAGAGACAGGGCACCCGTGCACCTCTCCAGACGTGGGGCTGTACCCAAAATGGAGAGCTGCAGGCTTGAGGATTCGGATTTTGGATGGCATTTTTTTAGATCCCTGCCTTCCCTGATGGATGCAGTACCAGTGACGAGGGGGATATTTCTGTGCATCCACATGAGGTGAGAACAGTGCCCACTTCAATAGGCACTGCTGTCCTGGCCTGACACCACACTTGGTGTGGGCGAAGGTGTAGCAGTCGGGGTCTGAAGCTGGAGCAGAGTGTAATTACCCACCTTCAACCACATTTTGCGCACAGAGACTGTTACCCCGTTGCTCTTGAGACCAGGCTGCTTTTTCTGCTTATTTTTTTAGGTGGAATTCAAGGTGTGAGCTGCAAAACACAAAGCAGCTCCGGCTGTGATTACCTCTGTGAGTGCCTTTCCCTCCTCCGGTGGTCACAGGCAGCCGAGGAAAAGCAAAAGCTGTCAGGTCCCTGCAGAAAAAGAGAGAAATTAGTGCTGGCAGAGCCTCTATGAGACAACTTATCTGCTGTGAAGTTTGAGTCCCTTGTTCCTGCTGGTGTGATCTGTTAACATAACATGCCTGAAATGTTTTCTTACATTCTTATTACAGTTTTTTTTCTAAGATGTGCAAAATGAAAGACGTGGGGATATTTACTCCAGTGCCACAGGAATTGTGGTGGGCTGGTTTTCTTTTTGTACATTTGCAATCTGTGCCATCAATTCTAATGCATGAATTAGTCACATAAGCATGCCTGCATTTATATAAAGATCTACGTAAAGCTTATGCTTTTAACAGATTTATAGATGCTGAGTAATTAGATGAAAGAAAAAGTCCCTTTAAAAAAAAAAAAAGGTGAAGTTAGAGCAGATCTTGCAGCGTGTTTATTACATTTACTGCTGTCAGTCGTTAGTGCTGAGAATGCCTAAAGCATTTTTGTTAATATTTAGCTCTTTTTAATTCTTTTCATTGGTCAGTTAAAATGCTCTTCTTAACTTCAGTCCAATGCTTTTCATGGCACTTCTGTGAAGTCCTGCTTTACTGGGCTGGCAGGTAACATAAAAGAATTAGTGATTTAAAAAAGCACATGGCCATGCCCCTGAATCCTGGCAATATTTCTGTTAACTCCCCAGTTGACAGTAAGGATGTGCACTAAAGCCTTACTTTCTCCCTGCAGTAAGCAGACTTTCCTCAAATAGCAATAGAGGCAGATAAGTTGAATACGTAGTCTGGTTTCATTAATGTTTTCCAGGATTAACGCGAAGTAGATCTCAGATCAACAATTCTGTATATTCCTTATCAGACTTTTAATTACTCCAAGTATATAGATCATTCCATTTCAATGCATTTAACTCTCTTTACCACCTGGATACTATTCTTGTCCTCTTCCTTTCCATATCTTCCTTTATCTTCAGTCCCCACTTGCTTGTCAGCTGTCTAAATACAGTTGCATCCAAGTTTTGCTGAGTGACGCAGATGATTGCATGTGTGTTTAGAGGCCACTTACAATACAAAAAGATTATTCAAATTTAGTCCCTGAAACAAGTTTTTGTATTTAAAATGCAAACCCAGCCAGGTAGCTGTTAGAGATTACAGGCACTGAAATAAAAATTTACCTGATCAGGATTTTCTGTATAAATACCAAATATAATTTGGGTATTTTGTTGTTTTAAAGATCAATATCCCAGTTTAAGGTAGCAGCCTCGGGGATCTGATGGGGCTGTTTTTATGAATACTTAGCCCAGTCTTTGTTGATGTTGTTTAAATAAAAGGATTTAGATGGGTAAGTTTAGAGCCTTGTGTTTAAAAACAAACCTCAGGCCTAAACAAAAAGTCTGTCATTAGTTTTCTCCTGTGAATCACATTTTCAGCAATATTCCTTTTTCCCTAAGTAGCTTGAAGAAAGAATTGACAGTTTTATAGAAATGCTCTTTTCTTTCTTGCCTAATACATTGCTGATTTTTAGGCAGCTAGAACTAGATGTGTTAGTGTGTAGTCATTGCTGTTCTGTATTTAAATTTGATTTTATTTTGCTTAGGGTTTTTTCCCCATTAATTCTCAGGTTGTTTTCACATTGCACTAATCATTCCAATTACACATGTGTAATTTGTCATTTGGTGCATATTAAATCCTCTTCAGCTGCATTTCGAACACTGATGCTGGGTTGTGATTCTGAACTGATTGTTCAAAAGAAAGTTCATTCTGACCAGAAGCATTGAATTCCCTGCAATGTTTGTTTCCTTCATGCAGCACTGAGCAGATTTGAAAAAGATGATTATTCATCTCACCCTTGAGATCTGCTTCAGTTATTCTTACGGCTGTGTGGGGGATGTCGGCTCCAGGTCATCACTTTGTTCAGCCTGTAACAGGCTGGGAGAAAGGAAAACAGTAGCCATGTTGCTCGTGGAAGTGCTTCGGCATCCATTTTTGTCTCACTGACCCACGTGGATTCCTGGTCAAGAATTGTGAATTAAAACCAGGAGAGACTTTCTGTAGGATTTAACTGGAGAAACACACGCAGTTCTTTGGTTTGCCACTGCCTTGTTTTGGAGAGTTGAAGCAGCTGTTTCATGGACTGCTGTATTGCCAATTTCTCTTTCTCAAAGGGAGACAGTTTGAAAAAGAGATGTTTGTAGAAATACTACTTTGTTCATCCTCTTTTTACTGATAGATTGATGTCATTAGTACAGGAGAGATTGTGGAGAGCAGCAGTAGTGATACTTGCAAAGGAGTAACAGAGGAAGCAGGACCCAGTTGTTGAGGGATATGGCTGGGAGTGTTCTCTCTTGTGTGTTTATAATAAATGCTGTACAGTGAGAGGAAGAATGTCTCCTTCTCAGGGGGACTGTGGGTCAGTAGAAGGGAAGAGAAGGGGCATCAGGACCTCCCCGTTACAATATTGATAAACCACGTCTGGGAACAGCTCTGAGTTGTGCAGAGCTGCATGAATGCCCTTGCCTTGCATAGCAGCAGTGTGTCCTACGGCAGCAAGCAGGGATAGGAATGGGGAGAGGGGAACAGGGATCTGCAGCTGCCCACAGCTCTGTCTTGGCCTGTCACTGGAGCAAAATCCTAGTTTTAATTCCTTACCCAGCCATGGGTTGAGTGTGCAGTCTTGCCCTGGAATTCTCAGATCTCTGCTCATACTCCCCCCTTGGTTAAGATGGGACTGACCAGGCCGAGCAGACTGCTTTGAAGCACAGGTATGAGACTCCAGTCTGAGTGTGCCAGCAGCATTACTGCATTTCAAGTGACCTTTCAGTCTGAAACTTTGCCAAAGGGAGGGGAAAGGAAGCCACTCGAGTTCTGCACAGAGATCCTGCAAACAGATGGTGTTTGCATATAGGATATGCTGTTCGGGTGCAACTCTACTACAACGCTCTCCGTTTTTCATAATTGCAGGCGGGCTAAACTCCGGCTATATTTGGAACAGCTAAAACAGCTTGTGCCTCTCGGGCCGGACAGCACCAGACACACCACTCTAAGTCTGTTGAAAAGAGCTAAGATGCATATCAAGGTAAAAACATTCACGCATGTTTTTGTTTCTTTTGAAGGAGAATCTTCCAGAATGTGTATCCGTAGAGAGGAAACTAATTTTCACACAAAATCCGTATCCATATGTCCAATCTTCTGGATGTATTGGCCTTTATTAGTTGCAAGGATTTCAGTCACAGTATCAAGGTTTTGCAATTTACCCGGTAGTCTCAGATATATAAAACAGTCATTTCTGCTTAGTTACTAAGTAATGTAATTATTTACACTGTAGTTTAAAATATAATATATATGTATCAAAGCTGTTCTTTGATTAATATATTTTTTAAGGATTGAGCAGGGTAACATTGTATTGCATTGATGTCAGTGTAAAAAGACAGATACATTCATGATGAAAACAAATAACGTAGTCAAAAGGATTACAGCTACTAGTGAGCCTTATCCTCATCCCACATCTTTCTGACCAGGTTCTGAGGCATTTTTTAAGCATTTAAATGAACCCAAAAATTAAATGCAATCTTCTGCTAGTTGGCTGGCTCTCCTTGTTACAAGTTTAAAATAAAAAACCAGCCCAAAATCTCACCTATGATCCAGCAGCAGTGCAGGTTCTACATTTGCAAAGGTAATTCAAAGCGAATTACTCCTTAGGCCTCCTCTCTCCAAAGACACCTGCCCTCCCATTTTCACTGTCGTCATTTTCAGGGAACCTGGTAATGTGCAGAAATAAGACAAAGAGGTATTCAAATGTAAAAGTTAAAGAACAGGTTTCTGCTGCTGTGTCCAGGACTATAATTACTCATCTGGCATTTTTTTCAGTGTTACAGGGAAACAGGTCAAGAAAAGTGTCATCAAAGGTTGAACACTGCCAGTAATCTTAGCATATTTTGGAGAACAGCCTGCTGATGTACATCATTAAGATGCACTGCAGTTACAGAGATGTGTGTAATTCATATGAAGAATTAAAGATTAATTTAAGCAAAACTGTTCATGTGAACAAATTTGCAGAGCTACTTCTTCAGCTCTTCTAAGCACATTTACTCCAGCTGGGCAACCCCTGTTTTTACCATTTGAGATTTTGGCCTCTTGTTTATAATTCAGGCTAACATGCGTGAAAGGCCCTGCATGTGGTTTTTGTCTTGGGCTGCCCCCCTATCATGGGCTTATGCATACAAATTGAAAAACTGTTTTTACAAGTGGCGAGTGTGAGAGATTAGCCCTGTAGTTACCATTTCAGCTGCTGATAAAAAAAGCTAGGAACAGCTTCTTTCCAAATCCACCGCGCACGGGACCAAGTACCCATTTTCTGAAAACCGAGACTGAAGTTTAACTTTCTTTTTAACATTTTAACTGAACCTGCCCTAACTGGGTTGGCACTTAATTGCTCCCCTCTGTCAGGTCAGCTCCCTCCCCACTGCACTGCCAGAGCATGACTGTGCCCGGCTGCCATTTCTAACTCAGTCATTAGTTTTGAACTTTTCACACACACCCCCATGTATTGAAACTTACTCCGAAAGATTGGACGGTTTTGAGTCTCCTGGATATGAATCACTGAGTTCACTCCTAAAATAGCTTTTAGAGTTCGGGATTGCAGCCAGGAAAATACAGGAAGAGGAAATCTGATCAATTGGGCACATTTGGTTTGTTGTGTACATGGATGTACCAACCCCTTTTCTTATTTTAACATTGTGTACCCACCTCTGATGCATTTCTACCGAGTGTATTGCCTGGGAGGGGGCTTAACAGCTGGCTGAAGAGGGTAGATCTCATTCAGCCAGGAAACTGCCCAGTTCAAGAGTGTCAGTTATTTTTTCAGAGAGAAATGCATTTATTTCAGGCTTGCATTGGAACAGCAAAATCTCTGAGGGGTTTTGCTTGTGGTTTGCTGTGCACTGTCCCAGCCCACTCTCCTCAGAAAACCAAGCCCAGGTTCATTCAGATGGCGGGGAGGCACTGTCAGCAGCTGTACTCACTCCCTGCACATCTCCTAAATCTCAGTGGTCGTGTAAACACAGCTCACAGAGAAATCTGCTCTTTCTTGCGAGTGCTTTTACTGCTACAACCTGTAATTTACTGCATCAGTTAGATAATTTTTTTAGCAATAAAAGGTGTTTTGATTTGTGTGTCCTTCATGCTTTTAATCCCATCTTACTCATTACACTTTTTTCCCTAATTATACCATCAAAACCAGCTATTAGTGATTTGGGAGAGGGTTCAGTTGAAATATTAAAAGATGCTACTTCTGTTGCTGTATTTGGACCAACTGTGCAGCATGTATTCTTTTTATTTGCAAAATTAATACGTGCTTTTATTCTATCAGAGGGGAGATTTTAGGTAGATATGTAGAAGAATCCTTTCACAGGCTGTTTGCTGAGAAATTTTGGATTAATATCACTGATTTTGTAGGAGATATCACAGAATTATCATATTTGCTCTGCAGAGGTTCAAGGAAAAAAATCCAAGAATAAAGAGAATTGTTAGTAAATTCCTCCCACTATATATAATTAATGCTGCTTATTGTTAATTAAGCTTTTTAAATGCTAAAATTTCCCATGGCCTGTGGTAGGAGGGAGGGCATTCAAAGGCTCAGGATGGTTCCTTTATGGTGATAGATAACTCTCTTATTTCACCTAAAGAGGTGTTACGTTCTCACTGAAACCTGAGCTGCACTCGAGTTATCAAAGATGATGCCAGTTTTGCCTGATAAAATGGTTTAAATATTCCCCACAACCAAGTCAACAATAATTCGGCCTTAGCCAAGGAATGTCTGCTAGTGGCAGGAGAGTTTCTGAGGGATTTTTTTTTCAGTATTTTTTCCCCTGCATCCATATATCTTATTGTGAGACAAATTCAGCCGCGACCTAGCCTGCCAAAATTGCGCTGACCTCTACAGAATGCTAACTGAAAAATTAAATGCTTAAATTTCATTTTAACTTCATTAAAATATTTATATCGCTTTTAAATTACTGTTTATGAGAAGGCCTTAAGTTATCTTATGGTTTAACGTGGGTAAAAGCTGTCGGCTTACTGTGTTCCTCTCCCTTTAAGAAATTGGAAGAACAGGACCGAAAAGCTCTAAATATTAAAGAACAATTACAGCGGGAACACCGCTACCTCAAGCGCAGATTGGAGCAGCTATCCGTGCAGGGCATGGAGCGTATCCGCACTGACAGCATGGGATCAACAATATCCACTGACTCTGAACAAGGTAATTGAACCGGGGCTTCCCAAGGGGAGTCGCAGGAGCAGGAAGGGAAAGGGAAGTAGGGAAACGAGAAACTGTCATTTGGAACTAAAACCGAGCTTTCAACAAAGCCCAGACAAAACTGTTCCACAATGCTATTTGAGGAATAAAAAAACTACTGCGACTTTTTTTACAGTCTTTGAAAAATGTTCCTTTTTCTCATCGGTTTTGAAGCTATTAATATGCTTGTGTATTTTTAAAGCTATTCATCCTGCGTGTGTTTTTGCCAGTTTTTTAAACAATTACCATTTCATGTCTTGAATTTTTAGTGTAATTACTGGTAAGGCTGGCATGATGTTTTCTCCTGGAAAAAAAAAAATGTTAGTGGGCTTAATTAATTTGTGTGAATAAATTAATTCCACATCGTTTATTGTGAAATTTTAAAGCATCTTCTGTGTAACGATCACCAAGGGTTCTCTGCATTTGGTTCTCATTTAAGACAGAGCTCTTGGAGCTGCCCATGGACATTTCTTATTTTCCCATTTGGAAGTTTTTCCGTGCTGAGCACTCACCCAGGCTGTTTCAGGGCCGGTGGGAGTTGAGTGGTTGGTGTCGGGGCAGTCACTGGGGACAGACGGTTGGAATTACGGGGAATGGGGCTGCGCTATCACGGCCTTTGAGGGTCGGGTTCCTGCTAGATCAGTGTCATGTGCAGGTTGGAACAGTTCTGGGACAACATTTGGTACTGATGTCATACAGTGTATTTATGTGGTTGAGGACAGAAGGGATTTTAATTCTCAGGTGGACAAGATGCTCATTTCCTCAGGAGTTAGTGTGCCAGTTCTTTTTGTTTTGATTACTGAAAACGAAGCATGATTCAGGTTCCACCTGAACGCTGATTGACACTGGCCCATAATTACTTGCTACAGCTGCTGCCTTTCTGAAAATGTGCCTTCTTATGTTTTCTTTAGAAGTAGACATTGAAGGAATGGAGTTTACTCCAGGTGAAATGGACAGTATTGGAAGTGCCAGTGATGCTGAAGACCACTACAGTTTGCAAAGCGGTTCGAGTGACGGAGGTTACACACATTCCCGCAGACTGAATGCCAGGCTCTCATAGTGCCTGAGTTACCTGTTCAACTCAGGACCATCTGACTGAAGCACTTATATATGAAAATTCCAGAGGTGTCAACTGCCACTCTTCCGGGAAACCCCAACCACAGTACTCTGACATGGAGGTTTCTTACCCACGGTTCCCTGCACTGTAACCACAATATTAGATATTGTAAATCATGGGTTTGCTGCAGAGAACTGTGGTTAGGTACAGTTGTGACTTAAAGCTAGCTTGATGTAGCCATACTGCAAATTAAAGGAAATAAATTCTGTCATTCCATTCAAGAAGAATTAAATTCAAACTGTTGGAAGCATGGCGTAAGGGAGTTTGACAGTTATTTTGATTTTGCAGAAACCATTTTTCAAACATGGAAGAATAAATGGAATCTACAATGTGTTAGTGATTCAGAGATACAAAAACCTAAAACTACTTTTTGTGGTATTTTTTCATGAAAAAAACCAAAACAAAACAAAAATCCAAAACATTTTGAATGCTGCATAGTGGGCTTCATAGAGCAAATTCTTTCAGCAGTTGTTGTTTGGGTGAAGCAGGCAGATAAATCTTCAAATCTCAGATGATCTTTAGAAAAGGTCATATTTACAAGTCACTACTGTACTTCAAAACGGGGGAAAAGCCAGCTCTAATAATGACTTCATGTGGGATGATCTCAACTTTCTTTTGCTTTTTGTATTCAATATCCAACCAGCAACAAATCATTCTATCCATGTTAATGGGAGCAGTAGAAAGCAACATGGCAGTTTTAACCTGTTATCGTGGAATGGATGACATCTGAAGCATTTCAGTGGTTTCATGGGTTGTTGTTTTCATTTCTTTCTCTGAAGAATACAGAACTCAAGTGATCCAGTTTGTGATAGTTAATCTTTCCTTGCAAGGAAATGAAATCTGTTTGCTTGTATTTTTTTTCTTTTCTTCTATTTACACATGTCAATACATTTTTATGGAAGGCATGGCTTAAGATTACAGTATTCAGCTAGAAGGTAATTAATTTTTTTTTCTTTTGCACACTATAATTGCATTTTCTATTCTTAAAAAAAAGTGCAAAAAAAATTAAAATGTATGCTGTAAAACAGCAAAGTTTATTTAGTACTCATCAAGCTGTTCAGAACATATTTACCCAACTTGTAGCAATACTATGAAGATGTATTTTAATACAACTTCTGCTTAGTGAAGTCATTAGAGCTTGGCTTGCCGGGTAAGAAAAAAATGGACCAGTCTTTGCATTACCTGTTTAAAGAAGGTCTTTTAAAAAAAAAAAAAGGAAGGAAAAAAAAAAGGAAAAAAATTAAATAAAAAAAAAAAAAGAAAAAAAAAAAAAGCTATAAACACTTTTAGGGAAGTGATTTTAGCAAGTGTAGTCTATATTTCCTGTAAGAGATTTTGTATTATATTTTCCTAAATGTTCTCATTTACTTGTATAGGGAGGGGAATGGTACAGACCCAGACCAGAGTCTCAGGGACTCTTCACCTTTGTCATATTGTGCCTTGGTGACCATTTATGTATGCCTCTCCTTTTCATTGTTTAAAGGACAACTAAGCTTTGTTTCAAGACCCTCTGTTCAAATGGTCAGTTGTCCACCTTCTTGCGGAAGAAGCAGAGAGGTGTATTTATATCTTCACCCTCTCACAACGGATTCAGTGTGGCTTTAAGTGAAATCATAACATTAGGTTTTGGTGCGAGGGTGAATTGTCTTTGTATGAGCCCTCCCTTGGATCCTTCAGCACCCGAATCTATATTTTGTTAGCTTCTAAAGTCAGGGTCTCTGTGAGACCAGCGCTCAGTGGCTGAGGAAACACAAACGTGCTGCGTAAGGCTATGGGATGTCCAAGTGTGGTGCCATTTTTAGCATTCAGATACAAGACCTCATGACAGACTGACCATAATGATCAAAAACAAAGGTTCAGTTGTTCTTTCAACATCTGACATATGTGTCCTCCCTTTGGCTCTTACAACACGGGGTAGAAATACGAAATCATTTTGTGGCAGCTTACAGATCCTTGTTTGCACTCTCGCTTACTGCTTGGAACTTGCCAACAAGGAAAACATACATTTAATTTACATAACCTAATGGATGGCCACCCCTACTTTGGCTCTGGGGAGGGGCCTAAGGTTATCAACTCTGGCAGCTGAATAAAAAAAAAAACAAACCAATTAACAATTTTCTGTGATGCAGGTTTTGGTATTACGTTCTATACACCTTGCATATTACTAAAATCCTCATTGTTGGGGAAAGCACACAGCAATATTCTCATTGTGTGTAGCTGACAAGCAGCAGAAATTACTAGCTCCTTTGGTGCATATGTAACTAATTTCCAAATCATGGAAAAAAAAAAAAAAAGAGTTTACTTTAACACACGACTGTTAACAGGAAAAAAAAAAAAGGCTAGTATATTGTTGCTGTTCATTTATTATATAATGAACACATTCATGGATTGTAAAGTGTTTCCTTTCATGACAAGCAGCTCTTGCACAGAACCTCCGAATGAAAAAAGATTTGAAACTTACAGAAGGAAAAACGAGACTTTAAATTGAACATTATTGTACCTTAGGTCAACCTGAAATTTTCCTTTTAAAGATGAATGTGCTAACTTAATGAGTTCTTCCACGCTGGGTATCCATGGCTTTGTAGATCTTATATTTTCAATAAAAATTACTCGAATAATCTTGAGTGGAAATAAAAAAGGGTTTATTTGTTTTTACTTTTTCAGTTATTACAGCTGGGAGCTATTATGCTGGTAGAGAAAAATGACACCATACTGCCTGTGTCATTCTCCCTCAAGCGCAGCCCAATTTAAGGTGGAATTTTCAGGCACAGCTTCCCCAGACAGCAGCAGCCCAGTTAGAGGCAATGGCACAGCAGTTCCAAGTGTCGTGTTTGGTGGCTGGTCTGGCCCCCCAGCAGAGCTGCAGTCCCACAGGCATAGCTGGGGCTCTGACATTCCTTCAGGGACACGATTCTCCTGCTACTGAGCAGCCAGTGCAGCGCTACCTGTGGCCATAACCCCTTGGGACGCAAAGTGTGCTATTTTTCTTAATTTTTTTAAGCTGGACATTCTGTGCGTGCGTGTGTACGTGCATGCATCCGTGTGTGCACACAACTGTACCTGTAACCACGACACGACTGCCAAAAGCAAACCGTTGGCTGTGAGATTAAATCCTGCCACCATCTCAGCAGCCCTGCCGTGGTGTGTCGTGATGGTGCTTTTAGCAGGCGAGGAGGTACCAGTGCTCAGCTCATCTGAATTCCCCTGCAATTACCGCATCGGGAAAGAAGGAGCAGGGACAAGATTACAGGGCTGCTAGGTCTTTTCCTCTGCGGAAAGGGCTCTGGGGGGATGAAGTCATCGAGAAGTTCTTTTTATGGAGACGTGGAGGTTTGGCCTGTTTCCTTGGGGGAGAAGAAAGGAAGGGCTTTCCCTTGCAGCAGGCAGGTGTCGGGAGGATACGCCTCCTCACTGCTCCTGGATTAGCGCTTCCTCCAGCTCCAGGAGTGCACTCTCTCATCACCGCAGAGAGGCATAAAAAAACAGCCCAAAATTGTTAGGTTTTTTCTGCACATTCTCCACTGTAATTCAGAGGATGAATCTTCCTTCACATCCATTCTCTCTGCCCGACTTGTACCCTGCCAGGCCCATTGCAGCTGATTCTTCTGAAAAGAGCAGGTTTGTCAGTAGAAACTCTTCAAGGTATTGTTAACCAGAGGCTGGATCCTATATTGTCTTGTGCAAAGGACAAACTCAGTTCAGAGAGTTTTACTGGATTAAATCAGAAATAATAAGCCCCCCCAAAAATCCATGAGAAGGACAGTTTTTCATCTGGTGTTTATAGATTAGTTTCTATCCTAATTTTTTAGTAGTGTAAGCTTTGAGGTGGGAAAAAAAAGACTTAAAATCTAACGCAACTTGCATCTAACTTACAGAATTAAGACTGTCTGGCCTTAAATGGTGTTACTTTTTTTGACATGGATGAGCATGGATTCAGCTATACCACATGCAGCCTACCAACATTTAGTGTTAAAAGTAAAAAAGAAAAAAAAAAAAGCTAGTGATCTAGCAATAAATTACAGTGATAAATACCAGTATTCTGAACACCCAACTGTACACTTTGCATAACTCATTTCAGCACATGAACTTAAATGCCAAAAGAGGAGAACTGGGAAGCGGAAAGAGGTGAAGTTGTGTGAGCGTGGGCTCTGCCTGCAGACCTGCTCCAGGGTGGGTACTTCTGCTTTTCCTGGAGGTACTTACAGCAGTCTCTGCTCCCGGAACAAGTGATTATTTCACCATTTTACCAACTTCTTGGCAGACTGGTAATTAGTGGTGCAATTTTTGATCCTCGCAGATCAGCCCTGTGGAATAGAAATATTTTTGAAAACAGCCACATCATCACAGTTTTTAATTAAGCAATATTAATTTTATACACTTCATTTTATGATGGCACTGATAAAGTTACTCTTTCAGAAACCTGTTGTGTTTTTTGTTTTTTTTTAACTGGTAGAGGCCACTGGTTTGTGTGGTATGAGCCAGTAACAGTGCACTAACTTGCACTTTCCAAAATTGGTGGAAGGATAATTGAATCCCTTTAGATACCCTTTAAGTAAGAGCTGTACTCCCTACAAATACTAATGGGGCAAACACACTAGAAATTAATTTCACCAGCAATGAAATGAGCCAATTTGCTTAAGTGACTGCCTAAAAGCACTGTTCTTAATTGGTAGCTGCAAAGAAAACATCCAAGTAACTACCCAGAATTAAAATCCAGGGGATATACGAAACAGAATAAGGCCAGAAACCATTTGGTCACCTTGGCTGTTCTCTCTGCCTGAAGTATTGTAAATAACCCCAGGAAAGGATTCCTGGGGAGGCATGACCAGACAGAGGCTGGCCCATTGGCAAAGCAGAGTGAAGGCACCCCAATTTCAGAATTTCTTTATTCCATTTTGCATGAGAGGCATAAACTGTGGTTACGTGGGATTTATGGCATTGGAAGGGTCTGTGCAATACGGATGTCTAAGTGATGAAACTTTGGTGCAGGTGAAGCACTGACTGAGAGCCTTCTGCTGCTTACTGGTGGAAATTGTTACCTAAAGGTGTTATGAGTGGGTTCTGTGCCAGAGCCTCTGGGTCCCAGAGCCAAAGGAATGGTTCATAGTCTGTGAGATGCATTTTACTGTATTATACAGATTCATTTGTACGCACGTACATGGCGCTTGCTACATTCTGTAGCACACGGAGTACTGTGTTGTATCATTATCTCGTCATAATATAAATACAAATTTTTATACCTTTTTGTTGTGGTATCCAGTTTTTTTTTTTTAAACATCATCATTTGGTTTTTTGTGCATAGTGTTTCTTCTCTTTGAAAGTCTTTACATACTGCAAATCTTTACATATTGGTTTAATGACTATTTCATAAGGAGCTCACTGACTTTCAGCAATTCAGAGGAATAGCAAGGTATGAAGGCTGGAGTGCTGTTAAAAGTTCTTCTACACACACTGACCCAATGAAACACCAATAGTTATTAATATTATTTGTCTCTAACTGTGGGTGCTGCAGAAATTTTCACTATTACCTTTCTGAAGACAAATCAACCTGTAAAACAAAGTGCCAGCTGAAATGCACTAGTGTCTATTCTAAGTAATTATGCTTGAAATCATTCCTGCTCTGTATAAGACAGAAAACAAACAAACAAACAAAAAAAAAAGCATTGAGGCAGTCTGCATGTTCTGCATGTGTATTTTGTTGAATATGAAAGTCACATCATACGTGATGTGCAGCCAGACAAAAATGAGCATTTTAGTTTGTTACTAGGAGAGACGAGATGAGGGACAGAGCCAAAGTGTTTTTGTGAATTACATCTTTTAATCTCAGCTGCAGTGTGTGACATCCACTGTTTTGTGTGTGTTTGTCACACATGTTGGACTTAAATACAGCAATGTCTTAAAAATACAGAAATAGTAGTTTAAAGTTGAAATCATGGCAAGTAGCTTGTTGATATGTTAATGTTTGATTTGAATAAGTTAAGCTGCTGAATCAGTAAAAATATTCCTGTGCAAAGCATAGTAAACTAATTAATCACAGGTTTCTATGAAATTAACACTATCACAGAATAAGCATAAAATACAATCCAGTCCTTACTAACTTACTATAAATTAATCTCCAGCAGAAAAAAAGCTATCAAACTTCTAGCAGTTCTGTGTTTTGTGACAGCACTTTTCTCAGCACAAGAATTGCATGGGGTAACAGAATTATGACCAGTGTGGTGACACTATTTTTGTAAATCCTGTACAGTTTATGACCTGTACAGCTTCTTTTATGACATTTGTCCTGTCCTATCATCTGTTTATAAGCAAAGCAAGTTTCCTCATGTCCAGGAACTTGCCTCCCCTATCAGGATGAAGATGTTTTGTCAAAATATATTTCAATAAAAAAGAGCCTTAAATTATAATTCAAATCATAATGATATAACCATCAGCTTCCTCTAAAGGAGGTACTTTACAGTGGATTTAATGGAAAAGTTATCAATTATTATTATTCCGTAACCTGTGAATTACCCAGTGTTTTTAAGGACCGTGGCGTGGCCAGAAAGGTGTGATTATGGTGTGGGGGCCAGAGGAAGAGCAGACTGCTGGTGTCACTGCTGCCAGAAGAGCTGGGCCTGGACGAGCAGAGATTGCTGCTGGTTTCTTTGTGCCCACTATGGTTTCACACTCCCCACAGCTCTGTGAAAGCCCCCAAAAGCTTGCTCTCCTGTGCCACCACTGCCCCACTGGGGATGAGCTGTGGGCAGGCTGATGCGAGAGAGGGAGCAGAGCAAGGAAGTGGGAGGGAGTGATCTGGTCCTGCACAATTCCTGCCGAGGTCCCTGTTGAGTCCCAGTGCATATTCCCAAACACGGGTTCAGTTTCTTAAGAACAAAACCCATTTGCAGACAGCCCAGCTCATCAGCCCTGCTTAGGGTACTCATTCAAAAAATAGGGTCAGGAGAGTAAACAAACCATTTTCTAAAAAAACACAAATCCCCTTGTACATTATGTGTTTAAATACATAGGAGTGTTATCCCAAAGGTGTAGGAGCTTCTTGTATATTTATGGCCCTGAATCCACCAAAGCTGAAGAAAACTAATCACTTTGACCTGCTTTTCTGGGAGTACAAGGTCTCAGAATGAAATCTACCGTTCCTCTTGGAGAGAAGATACATGCACTTGGGAGAGAAAGCAAGCTGGTGCCAAATTCCTGTCTTATGACTTTTTTATAATAAAAGTTCACATGGCACTTCAAAAGCCGTGCTTAATTCAGAATATAAATTTGCTTAAAGGAACAAATTACCTTTTAAAACAGGGTGTTTCTAAAAACTGATTGTTACTCCAGTAATCTGCAGCAGGGACCTCTGTCATCCTGCTGCTGCCAGCAGGCACGCAGTATGATGCAAAATCAAAAAGCTTCTATACAGTTACAGTTCACCAGCTAAAAACCTATTTCCATATCTCCTCTGTGGGCTTTTTCTCCATGAAACAAAGAAACAAATAAAACCCCCCATGAAACAAACAAACAAACAAAAGAAACAAAACCCAAATCCTAAAGCAGTAACAAGCAAACCACTTTTATGAGAGTTTGTCATCTGACAGATGTATCCCAGTGGGAGGGTTTAGACTGCCCAGGTGTGACGCCTGTTTGGTTACCTGTTTATTACAGCCTTGGATGATGGGTAATCGAGAACTTCTCTCTGAGGTTATCAGGCACAATGATGTCATATTTTGCAATGGAATAAACACAACATGATAAGGATGGAATAGTGCAGAGATTGCAGACATCCTTCCAGAAATGTTTATGTCTTAATCTGCTGGAATTTACCATAAAACAACTTGTAAAGGCAGTATCTTATCTCAGCAGCCCATCCAGCTTTTGGACACAGATGCAAACCAACTGCTCCTAGAATGGAAAAAAAGGGTAAGGTAAGATTTTAATTATGTTTTGACTGAACACAACCAAGAAAAAAAATGAATCAGAGAAAAACAAACTTGACCCATAAGGATCTGCAAAAGCAAACAGTGAAGCACATGGGGTGAGGTTGGGTGGGGAGAGAGACTGCAAGAAATTTTGAAGACATGTTTGTAGGGGAAGCATGTTGTATAATCTCTGCCCTAAAAGCCGATCGATGGTCTAACAAATGATAATTTGTTTCCCTTTAGAGGCTTGTTCTTTCAAAATGAGAATTTTATGTGCACAATGTTCTGACCTAAAATATTTCAATTCTAGCCTGAATTCCTATGCCAGCGGGGATTATGAGATCATGCTGTCTGTCAACTCCTCTTTCGTCCATCTGTTCCCCTCCTCCTTTCCTTGATAACTTCTGAACCTTCTGGCAAATTTTCACCAAATTTGACAAATCAGAGATAGGATGGAGGCTGCAATAATAATCCACAATGAAAACTTTCATAGAAATTCCATGTCTGGATAGAAAGAAAAACAAATTATTTCCTGCATTGATCATGTCCCAGCTGAACTCTTCACTGTTCTCAAGAGGAGGCCAGGACTGGCCAGCACGTCTGTAGCTCCAAACCAGCTACAGAATGAGCATGTAGTGCTGCTTGCCCAGCTGCACGGACAGGGACATAGGTTTTGGGACATTGTAGCCATCGTAGTCTGGAAAGAGGGAGAGGAACCAGTCACACAGGGAACTGAAGGCATTAGTTGCAGCAACCTAGACAGACAATCTGATAGAAAAAAGACAGACAGTCTTTTATCAGATGTGTCTTCTTTCATCTAGGATGTGGACTTCAGTGGAAGAGTTGAATTGCTCCCAGGACAGCAGAATTTTAGGATGTTTTCTAGGTATTTAAAATTTGCTTTTACTCGGGCATTTTTTACATGAGCAACCCTGAAACACTGATATTTATGAAACAAAAAACCCCAAAGCACAATATTGTGAAGCACAACCCTGCAAAATACTGCTGTAGGAGAGGTTGATTTTACTGCAAGTAACTGACTGAACTGAAACAGCACAGCTCATATGAAATAAGCTGGTGAATGCTTTTGTTCCTTCCCCGTCAGAAAGACGCAATGCACTCCCAGCTGCAAGATGATTTGAAAACTTCAGCCAGCCTAACTTGCAGCTGCATATCAGGCTGTAATCTGATGAGAAGGAATTCAACACTACAGCTCCTTTTACCCATGAGAACTCACTGCCAGGTCAGGGTTTAATCTAAAAGTGTCTTGCATGGACCACATTATACCAGAAATCAGCATTCTGTACTTTGCGAGCGATACAGGTGCTGATTTTGATCTAGAAAACCTCATGTGATTTAGTCTTAGCTGTGCTGAGCTGCAAGGTTGCTCATTTCCCTGTGTTGATTCATTTCAACAATTGCACTGAGATTAGAGAAGCTGAACATTTAGGACAAGTAGTGGGAGGGCTCAGCTACCCTCATATGGACTGGGTCAATGCTTATCAGCAGGTGAATTGTAGAGATAACATGCAAAAGTGGGGGAAATGCCGAAACCCCCCAAATGCGCAGTTTGAAACCAAGAAGCCTACAAACACCCAGAAGGCTTAAAAAATACAGTTCTAGAAGCCCATGTATAATATCTGACACAAATAGAGAAATGTGGTGCAAACCTCCCCCTGCGTGACTCAATGAGAAATTTAAGGAGTCTATTGCAGGGCAAACAGGGAAGCCCAGAAAAACGTGGCACACATAATGTAAACAGGAAGCAAAGACGTCTAAACTCAAGGAGTGCCTGATAAGGGATGCTCAAACTGTTAATGACAAGTTTACATGGTGCTTGACTGAGAACCAGCCCTTGCAATGCAGAAGAGGTCCCACAGCCTATGCCAAGAGCTTTCTGGTGACTCCATGAGCCACAGCAGCCAAAAAGCCAAGAAACCTGGTAGAATGGTAAGGAAGGACAGTGGAAATGAGGATTTTGTAGAAACCCTTGATACACCCACACCTTGAGGACTCCCTGCAGTCTCATCTCTGCACCTCCAGCAAGGCACAGTGATGCTGTAAAAGGTTCAGAGGACATTTGGAATAATGGGAGAAATGGAGCACTGCCTTTAGAGAGACCAAATTTTGGAACTCTCCAAATTGGAGAGGACAAAGCTGAAGGGAAATGTACTGATGGTTTCTAAATTGCCATGAATACCATGGATAAGGTACACGCAGAGGTGGCATTGACCAAATCCTGCAATGCTAGTGCCAGGAATCATTTGACCGGTTTTGGAAAGGGCTGAAAAGCAACACAGAAAGTGCCTTTCCACGCATCAGGTAGTGATGTTCTGGGATGCTGCCTTGCAAAGTTTTGGGGGGGATATCGGCATGTTGAAGACGACATCAGACAAATCCATGGACACAGAGGCCATGAGTTACCGGAACGACTAATCAGGGGTGGAAATCACCCACACAGCAACAATGGGCGCGGGTGGCAGAATCGTCGTGTTCGGGCATGGGCACAGGGAGGCTGGCGGGCACAGCGGGCAAAGGGCCGAGCGACATCAGCTGCACTCGGGTCTGCCCCGTGCTCCAGTTCCCGTGCGCTGCGAAGGGGAAAGCGGGGGGCAAGGGCCGGGGAGAACCGAGGGGCCGGGGCTGAGGGGACACAGGCGAGGAGAACGGGGCACGGGCGCTGAGGGGACACAGCCGAAGGGGGCTGAGGGGACACAGGCGAGGAGAACGGGGCACGGGCGCTGAGGGGACACAGCCGAAGGGGGCTGAGGGGACACAGGCGAGGAGAACGGGGCACGGGCGCTGAGGGGACACAGCCGAAGGGGGCTGAGGGGACACAGGCGAGGAGAACGGGGCACGGGCGCTGAGGGGACACAGCCGAAGGGGGCTGAGGGGACACAACCGAACACAGTCACCCAACGGCCGCCCTGAGGGGAAGGGCGGCCGCGTGACGTCACCAAGCGGGCCCGGCGCGAGGGCGCGTGCGCGTGCGCCCCGCGGGGAGGGAGGCGGCGCGTGGCGCGCGGTTCGAGCTGCGGGCGCGCCCTGAGCCCGCTCTCAGCCTCCCCTCGACCTCACCTCCCCCTCCCTCAGCCTTCCCGCCGCCCTCCCGCCGCTTTCCGTCAGACCTCCCCTCAGCCTTGCCATCCCGCCGCCTCCCCTGCCCGCCCCCCTCGGTTTTCCTGCCGTTTCCCGCCCCGCTCCCCTCCCCCGGAGCCGCCGCTGGGGCCGAGCGGACGCTGCGGTGAGTACGGAGCGGGTGCTGTGGGATCGGGGCGAGCTCGCGTTCCTCCGTCTCCTCGTCGCTCCTTGTCCCGCTCCGGGCCGGCTGCCGAGCGGGATCCCTGCGGGACTGGAGGCACCGGCGGCCCCGGGGGGCGGGACGTGGCCCCCGAGGGCCCCGGCCGTGCGGCCTTTGGGCGGGCCCGTGTGGGGACGGGGGTGGTGGGTGCTCCCTCAGCGCTCCGGGGTTGTTGTTCGCGGTGTTCAGTGGCAGCGGCGGGGCCGCGCATAAAGCCTTTATCGCTCAGAACCACAGAATAGTTAAGGCTGGAAGAAGCCTCAGGCCTCCAGTCCGACCCCCCTGCCAAGACAGAGTCTCCTGGAGCGGGTGACACCGGACACGCGTCCCGGTGGGTTTGGAATGTCTCCAGCGTGGGACACTCGACACCCTTCCTTGGCAGCCTGTTCCAGTGCTCTGACACCCTCCGTGTAAAGTTCTGCCTCATGCGGAGGTGATGTTTGCTGTGTTTTAGTTTATGGCTATTAACCCTTGCTCTGCCCCTGGGCACCACTGTAAAGAGTCTAGCACCGTCCTCTTGGCACCCATATTTATTTATGCCCTGTTTAGCACTGAGGGCAGAGGAGAGTTGGAAGGCCACCCTGTGACATGAAACTCGCATGACATTTTGTTTCGTATGTAATCTGTAACCCTGAGTTAAGTCAGACACATATGCAATTTTAGAGGGATGCCTTTACTTGGTTCAGCCCTCCAGACCGGTTGGCAAAACGGGGTTTTGTGGTGGAGGGTATGTTTTAGAAACAAAGTATTAAATAATATCAAATTAAAGAAAACTTATTAATATTACCAGACTATTGCAGACAAGGCCTCTTGACTTTTATAATAATTTATCCTTTGCTGTCTGTTGCACACACTTTAGGATTTCAGAGGAATCTTTTAAATGAAGGTTTAGAAGACAAGACTGCTTGCTGCTGAGGTAAAAAATAACCCTTTATAACCTAGATCTTGAAGTGCAGTGTAACATCACTGTGGTTTTGTTTTTAGGACAAACTGAAAACCCCACTAATTTTGGAAGTGTTAAAATGATTGTGGGTGTTTTTTTTAATGAATGTGAAGAAACGAATATAAGTAAATCACTTTTGCAGACCAATGAATTATTCAGTATTTACACCTGTTGCTATTCTATTTTAATAATTTATGTGAATTAAGGAGAAATGTAAGTACTTGCAAAGATCAAGGATATAACTGATGTTAAAATGTGTCCTGATTTGATTAACAAAATATATTAAGATATCCATGAAATAAAAATTGGTTTCTAATCTTTGAATAGCCACTCTAGTCCAAAACATTATTCAGTTTTTTTGGTGTGATCTGACACTTTCTTTTTCCTGTGCAGACTCTTTTTTTATTAAAATACTGAATATTCATTTTAAATGGCAAAAAATTTACGGCTGGAATAATTCCCCAGATTTTTTTCATGCATTTGGATCTTTTCTGCTTACAAAAAATATTTTAATCATGAGCTGTGGGAAGGATTTTGTGGAAACTCTTAAGAAAATTGGATATCCAAAAGCTGATGAGCTTAATGGAGAAGATTTTGACTGGATGTTCGAGTCTTTGGAAGACAGGTCGTTTCTGGAGTGGTTTTGTGGAAACATAAATGAGCAGCATGTGGTATCTGAAAAAGAACTGCAAGATTTTGATAATCTTCTCGAGTGTGGTAAGCCCATCTTGGAAGGAGATGCACTGGATGAAGCTCTTAAAACATTGAGGCCGATGGATTCAAAGAACAGTAACCAAGAGGAGGAGGAGGAAGAGGAGGAACTGAAGGAATTAGAGGATGAGCTTCAAACTCTTCAGCAGTTAAAAAAACTTCAAATTCATCACCATAATAAGCTTCAACTGATGGTCACTGCAAACAGCCATGTGTTACAAACACTGCAAAGCAAAGAGGAAGAAGCACAAAAAGATTTGAAGGAAGCGCTGGAAGTGTTTATTGCAGCAAACAAGAATCTTGACAGCGAACTGCAGTCTCTTATGGATGCAGCAAAGAAATTTGCCTCTTTCTTCACAGCTTCAGATTCAGAAAATCCAGTGTTTTTTTCCCAACTTCCTTTGGATAAGTATTTTGCTCTGGAAGAACAAAACACTGCAGCACTTACCTCACACATAAAAAACCATTTTTATCAAGGTATGTCTGAATGTGTTGAAAATTCACATGAAGACAGCTTTCAGCTTGAAGATTTAAGCAAGCGAGTCACTTGTGAGGGGACTGATGAAGTTTCTGAAGAGAGTCAAGAGGTAGCCAGGCTCCAGACAGCATATATTTGTGCTCAGCATCAACTAATTCAGCTACAGGCTCAAGAGGAGGGCATGAAATCAGCTATCAAATGTGCAGAGAGCATGCTGCAGTCCTTGGACAAGGTAAGCTATGGGCGCTGAAAAGATGAGGCTGCACTCCACACAGTTTGGTTTTGGGACTCCTCTGCTGACCATTTTCAGCTTTCCCCTTTTATTCATGTTCTCCCATGAACAGCACTTGGTGTTGTCTTCTAGTTAACCGGAATTCCCGGGATTGTCCTAGACCAGTGTTCTGGTCCCACACACCCGCAGCATGCAGTGGCTGTGTTCAGCCCTGAGAGAGGAACACACGCCATCCTGCGGAGTGGTTTGCCACTCTGAGACACACAGCATTCTCTCTGTCAAAACACTTAGCCAAGGTCGGTCCTCCCTTTTGGTGCCAATTACCCAAATGCAGGTGAAGAGTGACTCAGGTTGTTCCCACATCTCCCCCTGTTTTGTTTTAAACACGCAGGTCTCGCTGTGGAGAGGGCCGGGACCTGGGCTTCTTGTCTTTGGGATTGTCTGATGCACTTCCAGAGGACTTGAAATATTAAAAACAGACAAATAATTAAAAAACCTACTATTGATGCTGACGTATTACCCAATACGCTGGCCCCTGTATGCGTGGTCTGCACTAAATGGGCCAATGCAGCGGTAGCCGTGGCTGTGGTAGCTGCTGTGATTACTGCAGAGATGATAAAAGCAATTAGCCATCCAATGATGATTTCTTGAGTGTGTTAACAGTTTCATTAATTTACTTTATCCTGCATAATTCTCTCAGCTTCTGGTTGGGTTCACTGGGAGCCACAGTTTGGCTCTTCTGCGCATGGGAATTATTACTGATAAACTCAGAGGGGATACATTCTGATTTGTAATACAATTAAAATAGTAGGGATTACCTACGGAAATGTTAAAGGTATTGTTAGTCACACTAATCACAACATCAGGTGCAGCCAAGAAGGCATATGAGTGAAACTCATGACTGAGTCATTGTGTCAGTTAGTAAGAGTTGGTAGACACAAAGAATTATCCCTAGAATATTTTCTTCCATGTGACATCCGGGCAGGCCTTGCACCGCTCTCCAGTCTCCTTCTGGGATTGTCTGAGGGACAGCCTCTGCATCTGTGGAATCAGATTGCATGTTGGCTCTGTCCCACTCAGGAGAAGGCTTCATCAAACGTCAGCGGGGTCCTGAGGGAGACAAAACACAAGCATCCTCCTTCCCCACACCGGCAACTCAATAGGACCTTACCATAGGGCATCTTCATGTGGGTTTTTGTACAATGCTTATTGATCCAAATTAAAAAAATTAATGGTAAATACAGCTTATTCCACTTGGGGTGTCACATTCCCCCTTTCTTGTTTTAAAAGTTTGTTTTTTAATACAGAGGACACATTTCTTGCACCTGGGGTAGGTACAGGTGATAAGATTATAATTAAGATTTTTTTGTTCTTTGTTTGTTTTGATTGGGGTTTTTTTCTTTCCTTTTTTTCTTTCCTTTTTTTTCTTTCTTTTTTCTTTTTCTTTTTTCTTTCATTTTTCTTCTTTTTTTCCCCTTTTTTCTTTCATTTTTCTTTCCTTTTTGTTTTCTTTCCTTTTTTCTTTCTCTTTTTTCTCTTTTTCTTTTTTTAATACTTTTTCTTTTTTCTTTCTTTTTTCTTTTCCTTTTTTCTGTCATTTTTCTTTTTTCTTTCTTTTTGTTTTCCTTTTTTCTATCATTTTTCCTTTTTCTTCTTTTTTCTTTCCTTTTGTTCTTTTTTTTCTTTCACTTTTCTTTTTTCTTCTTTTTTTCTTTCCTTTTTTCTTTCTTTTTGTCTTCCTCTTTTTTTATCCTTTTTTCTTTTTTCTTCTTTTCTTTTTTCTTTTTTCTTTTTTTCTTGTTTCTTTTTTCTTTCTCCTTTTTTCTTTTTCTTTTTTCTTTTTCTTTTGTCTTTTTTCTTTTGTCTTTTTTCTTTTGTCTTTTTTCTTCCTTCTACCTTCTTTTCTTCTTTTCTTCTCTTCTACTCTTCTTTTTTCTTTTTTTTCCTTTGTTGCATTGTTTTCGATCAGTTGTATTTTCAAGGAAGATTTAAACACATATCGAAACAATCTCCATGTACATATTTTAAGACAACAAATAATCTGGCGTTGTTCTGGGTTCCTGAGGATTCCCAAAATCACAAACACTGAGACACGAAGGGTGTAAGCAAAACAACTTTATCCTAATACTTGCGATAGTATTCCTTACACACTGATTCCATAATTTCTGAGAAGCTGCTGAGCAGGAGGAGGAGATGGATCACGGTGCTTGGTGGGAGGGGCTGACAGGCCATGCCCCTGTCAGGGTGTCCCCTGGATCAAAGCAGTGTGCATCGCCCCCCATCCAACCCAGAACCACCTCCTGTATCCCCCTCACAGGAGTGGAATTCTCCAGTTGTGACTTTGCCTCACACCTGGCCAAGCACACGAACCGAGACCACAATGGCTTATGATACCAACTCTGTACCAAAGTCAAGTTCCCACCAGTTAACCTAAACTGTTGTTTCTCTTTCCAAGGTTCAGTATTTCCAACAGTGAAACTATACAATATTTTCCCATGCCATAGGGACGAGCACAATCACAGGCCACCTATGGCAGCATCTCAGACATGACTCAGGTCCCTGACACAGGCATAAATCAGTCAATCAGTCTGAAGTTTTAACATTTTTTTTCATCAGTTTTAGTATTATTCTTAACTTTTTTCTGTAAATCTGGACGTTGGCATGTGTGTCAGGGCATCTAATTATACACATATATTTAGGACTAGGTGTTTGTTGGTTTAAAGCACAAAACACACTGTATAAGTAACTTCCCTTTTTTAAAGTTTCCAAGAACAAAGTTATAGGCACTCAAACTATCAAATAGATTCAATGGTTCCAATGCTGTTTGTCCGTTCTTCAGATGATTCATGCATTTAAGCTCCCCCCTATTTTTTTGTGTTTTTTTTTTTCTTCTTCTTTTGGTTTTGTGCTTGAAGTTCAGCCCAGACATGTTGGCAGCTGTGGAGCTTGGAGGCAGAGGGGAGGCTGCCATGGTGGGACACAGTGAGGGAGGGGAAGTGACTGGGTGTTGATTTTTGAGGGTAAAATTCCCCATTGGAGGTAAATCAACACGATTAAAGGCAGAAGATTACCACGAGTAAAGGTAGAAGACAGACCCCTCACCAGAGGTCCTAAACCCCCTGTCAGCAGGGAATATAAACCAGGCTGATCAGCAGCACAGATAGAAATGGCAGGTAGTATATCTTCCTTCTCCCCAAAGAGGTTGTCCAACAAATCTAAAACGGGTATTTTCAGGGTATCCAAATTTAGACTATAATATTGCCATTGTTGTTCCTTTATCCCTATATCAGGCTCTGTTACTCTCAACGGTTGCAAAGCATGCGTAGAAGTAAATGTTCCAATTGCTCATCCATAACCTCGTGTCCTGCTGCATTCAAGACCTGTTGCAAGACCTTTAGATAAAGTCTGTGTTCTTGGGAAATTCCCTGCCCCATTATTACTACACGACTCCAGAGATTCCTGTCCTGCAGGCTCTGCTATCCCATTCTAACGAGATGAATGATGGCATTTGCCAACCCCACTGAGTGGTGGGTGTTGAATAGGGTCCTGTAACACAGGTCTCACGTCGGGGTCCCCAGATATGGATGCTGCACAGTACCTTTGAATCTCCTTTCCAGAGTTACTACCTTAAAAACCCTAGAGCTTAGTAGTACCTTTCTAATTTAGTTTGGCTTTGAATTTTCAAATTAGAACTGGCTCTCTGTTGTTTGTACAATAGACGAAATCTTAGCTTTGGTTACAATTTTATGGTATTGAAGAGCCAGTGTGGTAAATGTATTCCAGTTTATATTGTGTAGCATAAGCTCAGAAAGTTTTAGTTCACTGACTCTTGAAACTCAAGAATTTGTACCAAATAAATGAATCTGATAGTTGAAGCCCCAGAAATCTCTCAACAAGTGAGTGACAGGCAGATGTGGCTACTGGAGTTTGTGAAGAAATCATAATGAAGGGAATGGTATTCTCTTATGCCACTCATGGAATTACTTGAGGCATCATGTCAGTTTGTATATTTTCATTTATGGGTGACTAGTATATAGGACTTGATTGATTAGAGTAATTTGAAAAAGATTAATTCTGCCAGCAGTGTTGATCATCCAACGAATATAAATAATTGTGTTTGCATGTGAGATTTCAATTAGACATGTTTGAAATCTGGGTGCTGAGTAAAATGCAGCTCTTCTATTTTTAGCACAATAAACTGTTTCCTGACCCTGCAATTGAACAAAATTACCTTTTACTGAAATATATTTATTTGATATCTACTTTGTACATCTGTATTTGCCTTATGTTGTAAAGTTCTGTGAAACTACTTGTGGAGTTTTCATTTAATTTCACAGTAGATGTAACATAAGCACATGAACCCTGTGTGAACTGAAGGAATGTTTGGAAAGTGGCTTGGAGGTAACTGTGAAGAAAATGACAGATATTTTGTTTTATGCAGGATATTGGACAACAAGAAAACCTCGATGCCAAAATGTCTAGTTTAAGTGATGAAATTTCAACAATTAAACGAGATATAGCTCAGATAAACAGCGAGGAGCTGCTTCCCCTTCTGAAAGAGAAAGCACAACTCTTGACTGCGCCGGTGCTGAAAGCCTACTTGGATCATCACATTGCTCAGCAGGACTGTTATGTTGCAAGACAAGATGAAATGTGCAGGCACTTGATGAGACAGAAAACATCGTTTGAACTTATTGAGCTGGGCTGTAAAATGGAGATGAAGAAACACCAGGAGATCAGCAGTCAGCTTGAGAATTTGGTAGAATCTCTGAGGAAGAGCACTGATGAGTTGCAGCAGAGACTACAGGCCATAACTGAGCGAATTCAACCTGCAAAACCAAAAGATACTATTAGTCCAGAGGATGGTTTCGCTTGCAGGTAAGTGTTATGGTCACTGCTGAACTTTGACTTGCTTTGAAATAATATTGGGGAGATGAAGACTTAGGCAAACTAAACCTTTCCTATTGTGAAGTTCTTAGGTACTTGTTGTAGCTAATTAGTATTTTCAATTCTCAAGAACTGAAGTCTTCAGGATATGAAACCTGCTTCTTCCTCGTCCTTTGAAATTCTTTGCACATTTGCCTGAGAAAAACTGTTTAATTATCAGTGTTTTTAATAGTGTTCCTAAGCTGTATCCAGAACATAATGAATGCTCAAAGCCAAACCTGTCTTATATGGGGCTCTGATGTAGGACCTCCTGAGAGCTACTCTAGAAGGACAGACGTTAATAACAGTGATTTCTCAGTTTGATGTGTGACCTTGTCAGCTGAGCTGGCAAAAACCCCTGTGTGGTAGGAGAGAAGAATGACTCCTTCAGTCCATGAAATGTGTTCAGCTCATTTTTACTGCTTGATTTCCATCTGGTTTGAGTGTCCTGTCATCCATGGAGGAGTCTGATTTTTCACTGTCTAAGTAGTTAATTCTCCTTGTAGCTCAGGTGATACAGTCAGGGATGTGTGCTGGGCTGCTGTTCTTTTGATGAGGTGTATTGTATAATCACACGTGTCTTACTGTCAGACTTTCCCTCCTTCAGAATGGAGTTTTAGGTGTTGGGTTTTTTAGTAATTACTAAGTGATAGCAGAGTATGGTTTGGCATAGTGAATAACTGCACTAATTAGGCAGCATTAATTTTGCTCACATTGTGTGTTTGCATTGTCAACTTGTAACATTTTTGTTCAGGTTTATTATAAAGTTTCCAAGTCACTGAATGTTGTCTGGCTACTTTTTCCACTTTTTTTTTTTTTTTTTTTTTAAAGAAAAAAAAGAGGGAAGGGAAGTTGAAAGAGTTAAAAACTTTAAAGGGTTTGTAAGCAGAAGACACACAAAAGAAACTCAGTTACTTTTGAAATATAGCTCCTGCTCTTACTAAAGCAATCTGATTTTATATTAGGGCTCAACTCCTGAAGATTTTATTATGCAGAGATGGTAGTAACACTTGAGCAGAGTTACCTGTGATCATACTGGCCTATTCCTGATGCAATATAAGGGCACTTTTTGTAAGTTTGGTGTAGTGTGTAATGCTGTCTTTTGCATGACTTGTAACTGGCTGGAGAATTTCTTAGCAGTCTCTTCACAGAAAACAGGAAATACACCAGTAAGCTTGAAAATGTTATAAAGATTGCTCTTATTTTTTATTGGCCATTGAAGTCTACTTTTTTTCAGCATGTCAAAAAAAAATCTCATTTTGCAGTTCTTGGAGAGTTGGGAAATAGTTGGCAAAAGCACACTGTCAACTTCTATTTGCATTCATTATGTACTTACTGTTACTTTGATATTTCATTGCTGCTAATTTAATATTGTGATATTTTGGATTCCTATTAATCACTAACTATATATAGATAGAATCATGAAATCAGTGGGAGATACAGCAGTGTAGTAAGAGAGCCCTGAGCAGTACTGCCTTTTACTAGTCCTCTGAATTCTCAGCATGACCATCTTCTCTTGACTAATGATGATAGAGTGCTTAGGAAACTTAGAAATGTTTGTGTGTCTTTCTTCACTTGTTACAGGCTATATCAGCTCCTAGAAGGAGGAAATAACAAACAGCAGTTATTTAAAACATACAAAAACCTGGAGCAGATGGCTCAGAAGTTAAAGCAAGACTGTGCTACGGTACAAGAGCAGATAGCAGCTTCTTCTCAAGAGCAGTCTCTCCTTTTGTCCAACCTGGAAAGAGATGTAGATACCCTTCGTGCTTCTCTGTATTGTGGAGGAAATCAGATACAGCTCCGTAGTCCGGTAAGCCCTTACTGAGCTATTAAAATTATTACATTAATGTGTGTCGTGTTCTTTCCCTGACAAAAATGTAGTGTGAAGGCTGTACACACACAAACTGTCCCCACTTGTCAGCAACAAATTTATTAGCATAATGATGATGGACTCTCTATTTACATTGTTCTTGGCAAATGCTGGATTTTTGTAAAGGCTAGCAGGTAATAATTTTTTTGTGTCTGAGCAAATTGTTGCATCTAACTTAATTTCTTTCAAAGGCATGTGCAGTCCTGTCAATTTGTGATGTGGGAAATATGTTGTCTGGATAGGGTGTAATTGGAAAACTCATTTAAATTTCTCTTTATTTCATATGGGCTTTTTTCTTCCCTGTTACCTGTAGCACCCCAGTAGTACTGTTTGGCCCCTTAAAGAACCCAGCTCATTTGGACAAAATAACTATAACAGAATTTTGAAGGACAGTTGTAGTAGGACAATCCTGCTACACAGCTCCCAGGGACTGGGTTTAGATCATCCTTTAAATGGGAATAGGGTTTGTTAAATGCTACTTGTTATGGTTTTGAAATCATTGTAGATACTTCAAAAATGCATTGAGGGAGATTTCCTGTTACTTAATACTTCCCTGGTTAATTACATAAAAATATATTTAACTTTCATCTGTCAAGTGAATTTGCAACATATAGAACAGGTTTTATTAAGAAATGAAACTGTAATTGGGACAGTACATATGTGGGGAGTATACATTATTAAATCAAATACCTGTCTGTTGACTCAAATTACCTCTTAAAACCTAGTGACATCTCTTTTTACTGCTACTATTTCCTAAGGAAAGTAATTCCTTTAATAAGGAAATAATGTGTAAGTAGATGACTAGTCTGCTTATACTGAACTATCGTAAGAGTACCAGTTGGGAAAATTGTAACTGGTAATTAATGATTTAATTGTGAAATTGATTTGGCTTTTTTGTTGTGGTCTCTTTTTCCCTTTTAAAATTTGATTAGCAATGAAGACTTTTAATTGATTGAAAACGTCATTCACTCATCTGTCTAGGTCAGGTTTTATGGTCTTAACTCATCTGGTCAACCAGCAAAGGAAATTACATCTTCATAACCTGACGTGAGTTCTGTTACATGGAGCTCAAAAATTGAATGGAATCCCTTCCCACCTTTGTTTATGGAATTTTGTGATTACTTTTCAATTACAAATGAAAGTGGCTTCTCAAAGCAGAAAAAACCTTTTGTATTTCTAGTTCAGCTAATGTATTAATAATATAAAAGTGTTAATTTTTTGTCTTGTATTTTTTGTTAGGAACTTACTGAGCTGTTTCATCAACTGGAAGTTGATATAAATAAACTAAATCAACTCCTTATGGATCTGGTTGCTGATCTGAAGTTGAAGAAAAGCATTCTGGAGTCCAACAAGCTGCAACAGATGGAAAGAGACTTGTATGTGTATTTTTTCAAAGATGAAGATCACTTGAAAGAGATGGTGGAGAATCTTGAGCAGCAGTCTCAAGCTAAAGTCAGTGGTCTGGAAGACGAGAATTTCACAGCCAATGGAGTTCCTAATGTCTAAATTTCATTGTACTCCTAAGAAAGGAAAACCTTAGTGTAAACTGTCTACAAGTCTGTGGAATAATAAACATTAGCTTGTCCAGGCTGACATTTACCTGTCCTGCAGTGTGTTTGTTACCATTGGATTGGGTGCTGCTTTGCAGGCTTTGGCATCTGCCTGCTGAGTTCAGTCTCACTTTTGTCACAGCTCTTGGATACAAAGTAATCCACTGTTTATTTGAAAGAATTATGTTCAGGCTGCCCTTCTCCTGGCCTGTAGGTTCATTACTGCTGCACACAGTATAGCACCAAAAGGAGCATTTCATACCCCTAAGTTTTCTTGCATGCTGAGAACCTTTGACTGTGAACCACAAAATAAATGTGGAGGAGGCATTCCAGATTTTGGAACATGAGTGTAATGTGCTCATAGTGAAGAGGAGAGTTCTTCAAGGCAGATATTCCATGATTGTTTCCCTTACAGTTCTAAGAAGATTTGGTTTTGTTAAAAATGTGTTGGAATATGTACCAGAATCTGTTTTAACTACCAAGACCATCTGTTTTAAGACCATTCCAGCATGTCTTAATTTAAATTATGGCCTGTCTTCTCCATTGAAACCAGTCCATACTTATACTGGGCTTGTCAAAGAAGAAGAATTTTGAACTTATCTTTTGGACTTCTGAGTTTGCTCTGTAATTTGTAATGATAGGCATTTCAATTCAGAGTGCTGATACTTTCATACTTCTGCTTTCATGTGCATTGTTAGCCTGTTTATCAAATTTTTGTATAGCTTCCTAATATACCAATGGAACTAAATAGGCTTTTATGGTATGATAACTTCCAGTCTTTTGTATTTTGATGGGATCAGCTGTGCTTACTTTCAAGCACTGTACATATTGATGAAGGTTAGTGTATCAGCATTAACTTCAGTAACAGTAGTCTTTAAACTATTTTGATGGCAGACTTTAACTTTTATGTGAGCATAACTTATTTTGAAATGTTTAATTTTTTTTTTATCATACTGTTATAAGTGTCTTTATGTCTCTGGATTTCATGTTGCTTAACTCTATACTTTGTATTTATTATGAAATACCAAACTATAAATTCATTCAGTGCGGTCAATATTTACGGTGAATCTGTGTGTTGGTTTTAGGCCTGTTCTCAGGCAGAGTGTCTTGTTTATATTTAGTCTGCTGGGTTCTCATTTTGATCTGCCCCTCAGGCTGTGATTGCTGCTTCCCACCCTGAGAAGTCAGGGAGCACTTTAACCCCGTGTAGGAAAGTGTTGCTCTTAATTATAAAAGTTAGAAGGAGTTGTGTGCGGAGACAGATTATATTTCTGACTCCTGGAACATCCTGGAAAAGGAAGCCATTCTGCCTCTCTCTTGCTTTCCTTCACACACTTACTAATTTGAGCTAGATAGATACAGCCAGTTCTAGTGCAGCAGGGTGGATGTTCCTCCCTGAATCGAGATACAAATGTTTGCACTTGTAAGTATTCAAAGCTGCAATCTGCCTATGGTCTTGAGCTAAGAAAAATATTTCCATGCAAGCAAAGGAACTACTGTTTGCATGATGGTTAAACTTGGTGGTCTGCTCATGCACTGGATTTAGTGGAGAAGACCAGAGCAGCAGGACTCCAGTTGCTACCTTGTATAGGAATAATTTAGTAAACAGCAGTTTTTGGTGGAGCAATTGACTTGGACAACTTGGATCCTTTAAGTATTTTGAAAATGTTGGATATTTCTGCTGTGTTTTTGTTAAGTTTTATGCGTTCTTCTGTAAAAAAACCCTGTAAAATAACAAGGCATCAACGTGGACACCATTATTTGTGATTCTCCAGTGTGAGTTGTATCTAGGGATTCTCCGAGTATTTTGTATGTAATACAAAATGTATGTAATTGTATGTAATTGGCCAGGTCATCTGGAAAAACTACTCCTTCTCAGAAAAGGATAAAGTTTAGGACAACAGTGGTGGTCAAAGCTTGTAGAGACTATAGATGTTGCCGACCATTTTCTCAAACTGACCAACTGTAGTAACTATTTTAAAGTTACTTGTATATAACAGTGCTTGAGTGCATCAATTATAGAAAATTTAAGAAATAGAGGTCTTTTATGATAAGTATTTTCTGAAACAGCACATAATTAATGGTTGTTTACCATGCTAGTAATGCATGTTTCTTTCATCTTGTGTTGGCTCAATTTTGGCAGTTACTTGATGATTGTTTTTTTCCTAATAAAATCCAAGCACCAATAACAGTAACTGTATGCATGTGCTACATTGGTTTAAAGATACTGAGGGGGGAAAGCATGTCAGACATACATCAAATTCTTGATTTATTTGCTAGATTTTTTTTTTCTGGTACAAGTTAGCTGTACTTAAGAGTGCTGATTTTTTTTTTTATCAGTGTATTAAAACACTGTTTTAAAGATACCAGCTTTTAAAAATTATTACGTTTTTATGTGCAGTATGTTACTAACAGACGTGTCTGGGAGGAAATGTAATTTTCTATTGAGAATAAATGGTTGAACACATTCACTATATTTTGAACAGAATATAAATGATAATTGTGGCCCTGATTAATTAATAAATTGTGTATTCTGTGTATAGGTTTAATCTTAAAAATGGAGCGGTGCATGTACATAGGATGTGAGATTTCTAAAGTGCCTTTATCTGATACTGCTCAGAGGATTATGACAGCTCTGCAGTCTATTCCTGTAGAAGTTCAGACAAACAGAGACAATAACCAGAGTAAGTCTTAGCCTTTCTAAGTGTTTTTCAATTGAAAAATTGAAACACAAACAAACAAAACCATATCAAACCTCTAGTCTTTATTTTTAATTTGGGAAAAAAAAAAGGTGAGATTTTAGGATTACAGGTGTAGAAAAGGAATTAAGCTGTAACTGTGATATTTTGTGGGACTTTTCTGATTAAATAATGTTATGTGAGTGCAAAGAACAGTACCCTCAATTTAATTTTTTTCTTTCTGTTCCTGTGTGGTGTGGAAGTAGATGAGAATTTCAAACTGTTACTTAACTAATACTTTAAAATACCATAAATTATATGTATACATGAGCATGACTCTGGAGTAGATGTTTGAAGATCACTAGAGGTACTAGGAACTCACCAGGTGGCCTGTGAACTCTCCAGACTCATGTCTGTGCTTTAAACACGTGTTCATTAGAAATGAGCTCCTTGTGAAATTCTAGGAGGAAAAGTGAACAAAAGTCCCAGTGAAAGAGCAAATTAGGTAATGTTACAAGTGCCTCAGCAGATCTTTCTGTTGGGCAAATCTTACCCAGAACATTATGGATGCTGGGGAGGTTTTGCAAGATGTAATTTTTATTCTCAATCCTATGCATTTTGTAGTCTGTCAGTCTGGTAGCTCTGGAAGGAAGTAAATAGAAAGTTAGAGTTTTGCTCAAGTTCAGTTGTCTGTTTTCTCCTGAGAATTAGATCCTGGAATATTGTTTAAATGATGGGATATGTGTAAATTGTGTTTTTTGCAGTCTCAGTTTTGTATAAATTAGGGTTCAGACTCCTCTGTCAGTAGTAAAGGTTGGACCAGTGGAGCCTGGTGGTACAGCAGTGACAAGGATAGTAGTTCATTGTCAATCAGTGATACACATTTGAAGAAATGAGATAAGTTCATTTTAAAATGGTACATTGTACATGGTACGTCTGGGACCAAAACCCAGATGATTTTAAACAAAATCAGATCTCTTTTCAGCCTTGGTTTAATTGCCATTCTGCTTCTCCTGCTGCCGTGTAATTTTCCCTGCCTTAATTTTCCTGAGTAATATTTTTTGTCTTACACTGGGGCACTCTCAATACTATGCAACAGTTATCACGTTTTATTGTCTGCTCTTGATCCATTCACTCTCTCTCCAGGTGTAAAATTACCGATTCTTGTTTTTTTTGGAACACCAGGAAGGTGTCTGGTATCTTTAACCAAATGAGCTTGTTGTCGTCTCTGTAGTGCTGTTAAACCCCTGTTTATTGAGGAAAGAAAGAACAGTATAAGCATTTTGTAGCAGCAGGTCACATGACAAGATTTTCTTGCTCTTGTTTTCATGCAGTAATTACTCAACAATTGTTTAAAGTGTACAGAGTTTAACAGACCTATTTGAATTGCTCTTGAGAAATCGCATATCTGTCTGTATCTGTATCTGTATAGCTTTAGTGTGGATCTGGAAAGAAGAAAAAGTTCACCTCTCTTAAAAACAAAACCAAACAGAAACCTGTCATGTTATTTGGTCTGTTTCAAACTGTAATAAACTGTGTTTTACTGATAGATTTTTAAATTCTACTTAATGGAAAAACTGTTTGTCTTTTAGAAAGTAAATATTGGGCTCAAATAGAATAAAGATCCGCAATTTTGACCTAGTTGGTGAAATTCTGGGGTTATCTTGGCAGTGGGACTGTAATGTTTCCATCAAGCCTCAAGGAGTTGGAGGGCAAGGACGGGTTTCTGCTGCCATCTGGTGATACTTTGCTGTAATTCAGAAATTGGAAGTCGCATATCTCTTCGATCTGTCATACTGATTGCTGTGTGCTGGAGCAGAGAAATGTAATCCTCATCATTCTCTCTGGAGGGTGGATTTGTCAAGAAAAAGTAGCTTGGTGTGAAACAATTAAAAGCACTGAATGTAGACTCAGATACTATCATTCTTAATTTATAATCTTATTGTTGTAGAAGGTGTAAAGAAAACCAAACCTAAAATGTTTGAAGCTGCAAATACAGCTATACCATGTTGGTTGTTCTAACAGCTCAGGTTAGAAGTCTGAGCTGGAGATAAATGGCTGATCATACACTTACACCAACATGTAATAAAGAGCTTAGTTTCTTCTGGAAAAGGCATTTTTTTAGATTTTAAGTACACGGTCTTGATTTGCCCAGATGAACATTTTTTAAAACAGTTTTATTAAATAGAAATAGATCACCTTATGCTCTGTTTGGCATCGGTCATCAGTGTGTTAGATTCAGAAAGTGTCTTGCTGCTGGTAATGCAAATTCATAGCTGACAAAGTCAGTTTAGTCTTGTACTCAGTGTGGGGGGACAAAATACATACTTTGCCCATGAGGTGTCTTTTGGCTGGGTGTGCCAGACCCAGCATGGGTGGCCATCCTGCTTCTCCTGGCACTGGTATCACCTTACCTTTCTGTCAGTTTGTAGGTCTGAATTTCCCCTCACTCTCTGTTCTTGTCTGGTCTTACAATACCTGTTCTGTTGCAGGATGAACAATGTGAAAAGGTTATCCCCCTGCAGGTGAAACATGGTCAGTTCGCTGTGGGGCATGACATGTTAAAGTCATATATGCAAATAGTGCTTTGTAGAACAACACTATTGTGGAATAATATTACCTAATTCCAAGACAACAGTTAAAATGTGTAATGTTTGTAGGGTTTGGTTGCTTCTTCTTCTTCATGCCCATGCCCCAAGCTTTACTTTGACCAAAATGGTTTGTGTTTTCTTGAAAGAAGGAAATATGCCTGTTTGTGGAATTATAGCAGTGCCTCTTCTGAGCACCGTGGAAATTGTTTGTCTGCTTTGTAGAAAATTTAATTTTTCTTAATGGTGACAAAACAGGCTTTTGCATATGCATATTTCAGAACCTGCAGGGCCCTTTTAAGCATGAATGATACTAATTTGCTAAAGTGATTGTTGAGGAAAATTTCAGTACAATTGTTTTAGGTTTGGTAAAAGTCGCAGTAATAGTACTCTGTATGTAACCTAAGTTATGTGCACTGCTTGCAGATTCATTTGTATTGTAAATTGTTTCTTCTTTTTTAAAGGTATAGAGAAGACAAAGGACAATAAAGTAGGTGATAAGGATGCACATCTGAGAAATGAAAAGGCAAGCATTTTGTGAGATTGAAACCCACTAAAAGCAGTCTTTTTATAGCAGGTTTGGTTATACACTGTGTTCTTTCATAAGAAGCTTTATCACAATATATTTTATACACTCATAGCTCAGGTAGCTTTTACTGTCTTGTTTTGCACTTGGCATGTATTTTACCCATGGGAGTCTTGGCCCCACTTTTGTTACCCTTTCCACAGGAAGTTGTTTTTTTATGACAGAGGGATCAGAAATGAGGTTGCCACATTCAGGCAGTTACCAGGGTTTAGAAATGTTCTCAGACTTCTGTCACTGGACAACCACAAGCACATAATCATAAAGTGAGCTGATTCAGATGAAAAATTACTCTGTACTAGGAAGTTAAATTTTGGGTTTAATCATCTCTCTCAATTTGGCCTGATGTGCATGTGAGTGAGAGCCAGGGCAGGAGTGGGAATGGGAAACTGCAGCAGCCCCAGCTCAGGCTCTGAGTGTAACACCCACTGGGTCGATCAATGAGTTGCAGATGCTGCAAGTGTGCTCCTGTCCCAGCTGCAGGTTTCACAGCCTTACTCAGTCTGACACTGGTGCATGTTGCACACTTCAGCAGGTCCCTTCAGGCTGCTCAGGATGCAGAAAACTGCTTTCTTTTATGGAGTGGGATAGCTTCCTACAAATTGACATTGGCTCATAGATGCTCATGCAGCTGTGGGTGCACATGGGTAGTAGTGGAACCCCTTTTTGTGATGATGAGATGCTAATTTTGACTCGCTGCATGTAGTGAAATCTTCCTCCATTGACATAAATGATGAAACTACATCCTGGGAGTTTTCTCTACTTCCAGCCACGTCATTATTTCTAATAGAAGATCAGTTCTTTGCGGAAGCTGCTGTTTCTCCCTGTGGTTAATTGTAGCGCCAGCTGTATTATTCTGACTGAATAATTAAATTGCCTTGTTCTTATTTTTTAACCTTTGAAAGAGAATTGCTTATTCCTGATTTTTTAATTACTGGAGCGTCGTAATTCAAATTCTGCTGTGTTAAATGATAAAAGTATTTGCAGTTTGACTGGAGAATACACTTGAGTGAATTAGTTGTCTTTCTATGGCTCTTAAACATATTATTTTTCCACTTCTGGTAACTTTATAGTGTCCACTTTTTGATTGTTATTGTCTAAGCCCATTTAATTTGTCTTCATTGAGAACAACCACTATTCATTTGGGTAGTAGCAAAAGCTTAATTAGCTTCCTTTTTCTGTTTACTTAGAACCTGTGGAGTTGATCCTGTGAAGTATGATCTCAAGCAGTCTTAAGCCTTTTTCATCCTTTGACTCCATAGTTCTGAGGTTTGGGTGTGTGGGAACTGTGTTGAGGAATATTGCAAAACTGAAAAACCCCCAGACTTATTGTCTTTGTCGTTGTGGCTGGTTTAGTCTATGCAGATCGGGTAGAGATGGACAGTGTCCTTTGATCAGTGAAAACTGTCATCTTGGGGAATGGGGGGAGCCCTGCACTGCAGTAACTTGTGGTTCTTTTGACGTGAGGAAGCCTTAGTTTTTGGAATAGGAATGACAGAAGAGGTACTGAAGGAGACTGGGCTGGGAGAGCTGCAAATACAGTAGTTTTGGGAGGCTTCAGTTACTTTTCAATGGAGTGGGTGAATGTTAAATTTATGCATGATGCTGCAACTAAAAGTGAGGAGACAACTGCGTTCTGGAACAGTTAGAGAACTCAGGAGAGGAATTGATTTTTATTTGATTCTGTGTGAGATTAGGTTCAAAATCTTCCCTCTGAAAGTTACCCTGACAGAGACTGTAATCTTTCTGAGGCATTAAAAGATAAATATGACAGTGATGCTTAATTTAAAATAAAAACCAAAAAACATAAAATTGAAGGAGCTTTTTTAAAGAAAGCATATAGAATTGCCCTCCAAAATCAGAACATGTGTAGGTAGCATAGGGATTTATTCAAAACAACACTTTAGATTTTTTTGGTTTAAAATGAATACTAAAATCTGTGCAGAAAAAAGTGTGGCCAAGAGTATGAAGGACACTACTAAAAAATGTCATCATGCAAATACATAAACTTAGCAGATTTGTATTCTTCTATACTTGCCTTGTTTGACTAAATTAGATTAAATATACAGGAGTATAGTCCAAATAAGCTTGGAGGAACAGCTTGCAAATGCATCACTTATACATTATTTTTCCAAATGCCTCAGAAGTAGAAAGCCTCCTGGCTCCTCTAAGGCCTTTTGGTGATCGAGGTGTAAAGGGTATTGAGGGAAGATACAACTGTGTAATCTGTAAATAGTTACACACATCTACCTTGGGGAATCTTGAAAGGTCACTGGTTGCCATTCCAGAGTCCTTGTTTGTGAAATCAAGACAGAGGATCTGTCTCAGCTGAAGGGGTTGTAGAAGGAACTAGCAAAATAAACACTAAGAAAGCATTAAGTCCAATAGCATAACAAGGAAATTTATGAAGGAAATCAGGATGAAGGATTAGAAACAAAACATTACCATGCAGCATCTTGTTTCATGCTGTTTGGTAGCATGCTGCTGTAATGGGATCCAGGGACTATCTGGAGTGGGAAAACTGTTCTGGCTGTGGTGGGTTAAACAGAACAGAATATAGTGCTTATTCATACACCTGATAATACTTCCACAGTGCAACTTTCATATGTACTGTTGTATCTTGTAAGTTGCTTGAAGAGAACAAGTTGACTCCTGTACTTGGATTTCCAAAGCAATTGTTAAGGTTCCTTGCCAAAAGTTCTTTAACAAATTAAACTGTCATGAAAAAAGCTCAGAATATTGAAGCTAAAGATGAATGATCTCTTCTCTCTTCAGACATTAATAACCTCATCACTGTGGAAGACAGGACACTGAACTAAATGTATCTTACAGTTGTTGATTTGCCATTTTTTAATGTTAGACTAAGATTTAAAAAAACCCAAAACAACAGTGGTTGTGGATGTAAACAGTATATGTCCACAAAATAATCTCTACTGATAAATACTTGAATTTTGGTTTATGTACTATGGTTGCCCTTAGCTGACTCTGTTTTGTTTGTATCAACATTTTTTCATAGAATACTGATTTCTTCAAAGGTTATGTAAATTATCACGTTTTTTATTTATCCTCATAAGTTGAATAATTGCTTTGCTAAAATAAACTTCCAATTTTCCCAGGAGGTTTGTGATTCCAGAATTGCCATTTTAAAAACATCTGCCAGCCCTGAAAAAAGTACTGCTGGTGAGATAGTCAGGACAGTGCATACCAATGAAATGCTTGGCTGTCAAGATACCAAAATAGTGAGCTGTTACCAGGATTCAGACTTGCCAACATGGGAATATCAAGAAAGAAATCTTTCAGTAGAAGCAAAAAAGCCGAAGGATGGGGAAAAGAAAATAACTGTTCCTCTTAAAAGAAAGCAAAATGTGTTTACGTGTTGTTCAGAGAAAACAAGAAGATTACATGTAAAGCCCTGCACTTCTTCACATGAAAGAAGATACGACTATAGCTCTGGACAAAGAGAGACTTCTGAAAATCATCCTTGTGATATCAGCACTTTAGGATATGAAGAAAAAAGAGAACTGCTTGCAACTATAGAGCAGGCAGTGGCTTTTGTAACTACGATGATATTTCAAGATGGTTCTTCACAGCTCAGTTCAGAACAGGTTAGTGAAGGATGAGCTTTGATTAGAGTCAGTCCTGTAGAGCTGTTTGATGTGCATGTGACTGATAAACACAAACCCGTGCTCATTGGGAACCCCTTTTGTGTATTGCATACCAAAATATGCATGTAAAATGAGGTAAATCTTAATATTTTGACTACATTTTATTTTAAGTTACCAAGTAAAATGAAAATGAAACTGCTTGGGCTAACTAGACATTTGTGTACCCAAAGTTAAACTTAATTAGAATATCTTTTTCTACTTTCTACTGTATTTGTCCCTGTCTATTTTTGTTTCAAGACTGAAACACTTGCCTGCTCCTCTACTGATGTCAATGGTGTATGCAATAACTGCAGTGTACATAATAGCTTTCATTTTATAAAATATTTGGGAACTTTTCTTTATAGGATTGCACAAGATCTGTCAGAGGAAACACTATTGTAATTACACTTAACAGGTCTCAACCTCTTCAGTAAAAGGAGTTGTTGTGCTAGTGAAGAATCCTCCCAGCAACTCTTCAACTGGCTGTGCTTGGAATGCTGCTAAGGAAAATGATAAATTAATTTATTTAAAAACTGAACGACCGTCTCTCTGGGGACAAGAACAGGCTCACATGAAATTTTCTTGGTGAGAGTGTGTAGGAAAAAATACTGTTTTGCTTTACATGTACTTTTAGCAGCAGTGATGTTGGTTACATAGCACAGGCTTAATCTCCTAACATGCCAAGCTCATTGAATTTCATATTGGCTGTATTAGTTCTGTGTCAGGTCTGGGCTAATATAAACCAAGTAAGAGTAAACTGTTCCTTTGGCCTCAGCATATCACTCACTGCAGACTGACTGCAGAACTAGGTGGGTATTCTGAGCTGGTTACATTTGCCTTGGAAATATTTTATGGCACCAAAAGAATGTGTTTCTTTCAGGTTTATCTTTTATTTTATCTTCCATTTCCTCAACTGCATTTCTTATCTAATACCTTTTTGATGAGCATTATTACAGTAAGCACCCATTTTGAGCTTTGCTAATATTTTTTCATCTTTTTAGAACAGGTTTTTTAAATGGCTTTTGAGATCCCAAATGAAGTTTTACTAATATTCAGTAATAATGCAGTATAATTTTTAAAATAAATGCTTCATGTGTCTCTTTAATACTTGGACTAAATTTCAATAAAAAGTTGGGTTATGTTTTAAACTTCCAGTTATTATAACCAAAATCCATTTTTATTCCTATTAACTTGGAAATTGTATCCCATAAAGGGAGAAATGAGAACTGAATCTGATTCTTAGATGTAATAGTTGCATGTTAAAAATTCATCAGACTATTTTATGACTTTCGGTATTAACTGCCTAATTGTAAACTGCTGAATTGGGGTTATTAAATTACAAAGCTTTCCTTTTCAAGATGTTGGATTTGATTGTTAGTTGAATTTCTGCCACTGTTCCACTGGGACTTGAAACAAGGCACTTTGCTTACCTGTGCTTCTCCAGCTGTAATATTGGAGTTACATGACAACTAATTTAACGTTGTCAGCTTGAATATAGGTTGTTGTGAATTGAGAATAACAGATCAATAAAACAGGTACATATTACAGTAAAAATAATAAGTTGAATAAGGGTATTAGATGAATCTTACAGGTAATTCTTTCTTGTAAGAATGGTGCAGTTGTTTAGTAATGGATCTATACTGCATACAATAATACCTTAGGATCTGTGTGATTTCTATGTCCAAACCCTTGGTATTGTGGTTTCATACCATCAAAAATGTTCTATTAAAAAATACTGTTTTTCTACATTGACCAAAAAAGAACTTATTGAAATATAAGACACATATAATTATTAAATCTACATACTGATATATATATAGTTGGTAAAATCTATTTAAAGTAGCATGAATGAGGGAATTATAGACATTTTGAAAAGGAATGAAAATAAATGACAGAGATGAAACATCCTAAGTTTAAGTAGTGTACTAACACAAGGCAGTTATGGTAATTTAGATTGCCTAGTAACTTTTAAAATCAGTATTTTACAATGCTACAGTAACTTGAACTCTGTGATCTTATTTGGATATATTGAAGTATTACAGGATACCAGTTGCTGCTTTAGATTAAGGTTGCATTTAACTTTGAGAGTCAAACAAGGATTTATTTCCTTTATGAATGCATGATAAGGCATATCTGCTAGGATGTTTAATTTCTTATAGAATGAAGCCTCAGGTATTATTAAATTGAGAATTTAATATTCAAAATGCAATGTTCTGTTCTTACAGGAATAGGGAAATGTCTTGGGTTAACTGTTGAGTATTAGGTGCTAATTAAATGAATTCAGGGTATAGATTCACTGAATGTAGTAGCAATATAGTGTGTGTTAATGAACTGCTTCCGTGCAGGCAAGTGTTGTTTCAAATGCTACAGTGCAAAATTCCAGTAATTTGCTTCAATGCAAAAGATTTCCTGAGGACTCTACTTCAAGTTTATGGTAATGAAATCAGCTGGAAACAAGGTAAGTACTGAATCTACGTTCTCATCCTGTAATCTTGGTGATTTTGACGTCTCCGTTAAAATCCCTGGATGTAGAAATAACTACATTGGTAGTTAAATAATGTATTGAAAAACAGTTTAGTACCATGGAGAAGAACATCCCTCTTGGAGAGGTGTCCAGAGGCTTGGCATGTGAAGATGATGTATTTCTTCTTAGATTAGGAATCAAATTATTGAGTAATTTAAGGATAGCTTCCAGTGGAAACAAAAGCTCTTGACACAGTCCTGACTATAGCTGAAAGGGTCAAACTACTTCATGTTTCATATTCCCTAGGAAAAAGCTTTCTCTGCTCAAAGGAAAGGCTAAAATAAATCCCAGAGATGCTCACAATTGTCCGACTTAGGAATTATTTGAATGGGTTGGATTTAAAAGCAACTACAAACAGAAGGCATAAGATGTCAGTATAATGTCTTTTAGTTCCATGTATCAGATTCCTGCTAAGTGAGTTACAAAAGTAAATGTGACCTTTCAGGAAGGGCTCCCTCTATGGAGTTTCGTCAGCTTGTGTTCAGCATCTGCAAAGTTTCATCATTAAATCACAGTAAACTGATGATGGTTTAAAATCTGGTGGTAAGATCTACTTAAAATAGCACTGGGAACGGGAAAGGAGGGAAGAAATGTCACGATAGTTTTATAACCTGTACACAGTTAGGTGCTATCTGATGCATGGGATTTGAATCTGAAGTTTCCAGTAACCAAAAGAATTCTCGCCTAGGTTTTTAAACTTCAGAAATTGATAGTTTCTCACACGTTTTTTCTGCTATGAAAAAAAACCCAAACAAAAACCCTCCAACAAAACAAACAAAATCTCTTAAAATTCTCTTTAGAGTAGTCCTGCAGCTGTAACTTGCATTATAGACATTAAAGTTTGTTTTCAGGTAACCGAGTCTGTAAGGTTGTGTAGCATGGCGTTCTCTATAAATGTACCTGTGGCTCATCATTTGAACTTAGGGGTTACTGAAGAGGGTACATAGGTTTATCTTTGAATATGTCACAAAGCATTCTAGTTAATAGTTTTCCCCAGTCTTTGTAGTACTGCAGTACACGTGTTGAGATTGTATTTCAGAAGGAACTGAAGCAGCACTGGGTTTGCTCCATCCTATCCACCTATGTGAACATGAGCGAAAGTGCAGTGTAAGCACTTATGATCCTATAGGACAAAAGGGCCTGGTTTTTGGAACCAGTGTGTTGTGCACCCATGTGTGAATTCATATGTATATTAGCAATCTCAGTCTGATTACTAGGAGGTAAATCTCTCCCTGATCCCCACTGGCAATTTTGTGGCTCAAGTTAACAGCAACAGAAGTGTAGCGGTGGGAGACACTTGTAAGAAAAACTTCAACTTGAAGTTTTCCAGTGATAAGAAAGAGAAGCTTTAACAGTAAATCTAAAGAACCAAAGGCTTATTGTATTTTAAAACTTGAAAAAATCAACCAATGAAAAAACCACACTCCAACCTCACAAAATAACCCTCTTCAAAAATATTTAATACTGAACTTACTCCTGTGTAGTCATGATATTGACTATTTGTTACAGCTGCAAATTCAATGTTTAACATATCTGTAGAGTAAATACTTGTTCTTTTATGAAGTGTGGGTGCAGGAAAGATGGGCAAAACTTTAGAGGTATTTTTTAGTGTGGGGGGTAATTTAAGTATTTTGATTGTCAGAAATAATTTATTCTTGTAGTTGCTGATAGTGTTGTGTTGGATCCAAGGATTGCTGCATGGCTGATAAACCCCAGTGACACAGTTCCTTCCTTTGAATCTTTAATACAGAAGTACTTTGAAAAACCTTTCTCAAAGGGAGCAGAAAATACAGATACAGGCACTTTGAGAAATGCATCTGTAAGTAGTTTGTTTTCAGTTGTTTGTGGTTGGGTTGAAAGGGGAAGGAAATGATAAAAGAATTGCTTTTGCCTACAAAATGTTGCATGAAAAGATAGATAATGCTCTTCTAATGGGAGAAAATTATTCTATTAATAGTCCTTGTTGGAAATCTAAAGAAAGGGGAGAAGGGAAGGTTCCACTGCATTCTACCACAATGGGATCTCATTCTCCAGGGACAGCTGTGAAATTTTCTTTCAAAACTGTAAAGTTCAGTAACAATATTAATGTATAATCTTTTTTCTTTCCACCTCCCTGCAAAATGATTTCCAGCTCTCCTTTCCAAAATGTCTAATGCTGCCTTTTCCAGTTCCTGTGAACCTGTAGGCTGTATTTAGTTGATTATTAAAATTTTGCTAAACTTCACAGCTGCTGAGGAACAGTAGGAGTCAAATGTGAACTTCCAAGCATGTGAATGAAAAGATCTGAATTTTTATTCTATCATTATGAGAGAATGTGTGATGAACTTTTTGAGATGTTATCCTCAACTCTAGAGAAATTTCTTCCTATATCCTGTCGAATATCTTCCTATATTCCTATTGAAACGTGTTTACTGCCATGGTGATCTACTCTGGACACACTGGCCTTCAGAGGTTGTTTGAATGATAAAATGATGTGCAACAACCTAAATGATTTTTTTTTTTTGGAAACCATTCACTTTTCTGAGGCCTCGGTTGTCCAGACTGAGTATTACAACATGATTATAGGACTTCTGGGATTCAAGTCCACAGATGTCCAGTGGGCTCAGAGCATGGACAGGGGTTGTTGTATTGGCACGTACCTGTTAGTGCAGACATTTCCCAGAAAACCAGAGCCAGTTTGCTTTGAAACACTGGCTGTAAACTGCAGTTCTTCAGAAGCTACTTCATGAATTAAGCTATTAGTGTAGGGACTGGACAGGCAAACAGGCAGAAACTGTAAACTTGTTGTTTATTTCTGTATGTCATGGCCCTCCTGTGAGTCAGCATCCTTAGTCTTGTCTCTTTCCTTAGCTTGACTCAGTCTTTTGTTCTTCAGATATCACATCTGTTCTTAGTTATCATTTCTTAACTTGATTCCCAGCTCTGAGTTAAATATTGAAATCATATTTCCTTCCTTTCCCGCTTCAGGTCTAGTTTGTTTCCTTGCCCCAACCATCCAGTGCCTTTTTGCTGACTTGTTCACTCAAGTCCAAGTTTAATGCCTCCTTGTAACATCCTGTGATTATTTCCCCCCCCCCCAATTCCATATTCCTTAATTTGTTACCTGGACTCTCACATTTCCTTTTTGGCTCTTCTGTTTGCTCAGTGAGTCCCAGTTCTTCCTGTGAATCCTGGCTCTTTGCCAGATTTATCTCTTCAGCCTTCTTGCTCTGTCCTTGCTGGTAGGTTCCTGACAGGTGTCTGTACTCCCAGAGGGATCTGTGGTGAGTGATGCATCATGTCTCATCCCCCACCACTTCAGAGAAGCTCCCTCTCTATTGTCCTAGTCTTGGCCACCCACCATAGTCCTTGGAATGACTGCTGGTTTATTCCGTAGCTCACTGCTCACCCACACACCTGTAGCACAGGAGATGTGCTGCTTGTCTATGTCTTTGATGCTCTGCCAAAGGGATCATGGTCCGTATTCCCTGAAACCTTTGCTGGAACAGGTGCTAAACATCTTACAGTTCCTGTCACTGCTGCATTCGCTGATGAGCGTTCTTGGTATCAATTGAAGCCTGTCACTGGGCACTTTTCCACCTCCAGAAAGGGATCAATCAAACTGTCTGTATTTCACAGACATCTCGTTTGTTCCAGATCAGGATGGCATGGACAAGGTTTCTTGGAGTCAGGTTGATGACTTTCAGTGCAGTGTGGGCCTGCTTAAATTAGTCTGTCTGGGGTAGAGAGAAGCCCTCACTCATAGAACTAGACTGTGCAGTGGGTTGACCCTGACTGGACACCAGGTACCCACTAAAGCCAATCTCTTACTCCCCTCTGCAACTGAACAGAGGAGAGAAAATATAACAAAGGGTTCGTGAGCTGAGATAAGGACCATGAGAGATCGCTTACTGATCACCATCACGGGCAAACCAGACTCAAAGTGGGGTTTTCAATTAAATTTATTACTAACAAAAGGAGCCCCTGGTGGTCTAGTGGTAAAGGCGCGGCGCTGTCACCGCCGAGACCCGGGTTCGATTCCCGGTCAGGGCCACTCCCGGGCAGGTGGGGCTCAGGCTAGCCCAAAGGCAACCCACCTACGTCCTAAGGACACTCGCTGCCACCGGCCCAAGCTCAAGCTTGGCCCCGGCAGATGAACCAGTAAGTTAAAGGGTGAGCTCAGTTCCGCGCACACTGTGTCTCACCTAAAAAATCCAATGCGCAGGCTGGAAGGTGTAAAGACCTTCCCTGGATCTTCGCTTGCGAAGACTGGCCATTATTATTATTACTAACAGAATCAGAGCAGGAGAATGAGAAGTAAAATAAATCTTAAGAACACCTTCCCCCATCCTTCCCTCCTTCCTTCACAAGTTCTATCTCTTCTACCCCAGCAGTGCAGGGAGAGGGGAAGGGGTGTCACTGTGAGTTCATCACAGGTTGATTTCTGCCGCTGCTCAGGGAGAGGAGTCCTCCCCCTGCTCCCTGTGGAGTCCCTCCCACGGGAGATAATCCTTCATGAACTTCTCCAGCGTGAGCCCATCCTATGGGCAACAGTTCTTTACAAACTGCTGCAAGGTGGGTCACTTTTCCACAGGGTGCAGTCCTTCAGGCACCGGCTGCTCCAGCGGGGGTCCTCTGCAGGGCCACAGCTCCTACCAGGAAAACCTGCAGGTGCTGTCACTGGAATTCACTACCCCATTTTGACTCTTCTGCAGCTGGGGCTTTGCTGGGACCTGCTTCCTACTGAAAGGCATTAGATTATGTACAACCTGGTTAGTTTTATCAGCTGTTATCCTGAGTCAGAGGGTCATTTCAAGATAAAACCAAGGCTTAAGTGTGTTCTGAATGACTGAAGACTATACGCATAAACCCTTTGGTTTATGGTATGTGGTAGGAAAATGTCCCTGCAGTAAAAGCTGTACCAAAACTCGAGTAATTCTGTGTATAACATGAAACATAACTTGCAAGTTATAGGTGTCTCCCACAAATAACTCAAATTTCACCATTTTACATAAAACCCCTCAAAACTACCATAACATGTCATACTTAATTCCATGTAACCCATTTTCTGCCTGCAACATGGACCAGTATGCAATTCTTTGGAAACAGTATATGGACAGGCAAGTGCATACCTTTAGTCTTTTGGAATGCTGTCCTAGGTTCTATGGGCTTTGGCTCAGGAATTTTACAGGACAGTGCTAGTGTTTTTTCACATAATGGTTTGGATGTTAATTTATTACACAATTTTGAATTTTCAACCCTCATTAAATATACAGCCTGTGGGATTTTTCACATGCCCATCCTTGATCACAGGAATTTAGTAGTGAAAAGCAGTGCTTTGTTGTTTAAATTTAGTGTGTTAGCCCGTTAAACAAAATTTAATAGGTTTAATTAGGTTTATTTTTAGTGATCATGTTCTTGCAGCCAACAGTCATAATCTCAGTGTCTGTATGCATTTCAAAGTGGTATCTCAGCCATCCGAAGGAGGTGGCATGGCTCTGTGTGGAACACCTCTAGAACACAAGGGAAGGAAGTGAACAGTTCTGGCACAGAAGAGTGGGGGTTCTTACATGAGAAAGAAAACTGCAAGGAATTTTCCCTCACTTTACAAGTGGTAATAAAACTCTGATACCAAAGGCATTTTGATACTATTTCTCTGTGATCTGTGCAAAATGTACATGAAGGAACAGGTAAAATCTGGAATGTTCATAGTTGGTAGTTCTGTGTTCATGAATTGGGTTTGTCAGAGGTCTAAGAACATTTCTAAAATGTAACAAGAGATACAGAAAAACAGAAACCCCTATTTTTACAATTTAAAACGTTTTAAAAATTTAGTACTCTAAATACTTTTATTTTAGCAGTAAAATTATTGATTTATTTTTTTTTATTTATATCAGTATCAAAACTTAGGTGTGAACTTGGAGAAGCTTTATAATGTAATGATGGACCTCATTCATGACTTAAAGGTAAGGTATAAAAAGAAGTTGTTCAGAAATAATTTTGGAGATATTATCAGGAATTAAAGAGAGTTAGTCCTGTATTTCTCATTCAAATTAGAATCTAGTTAAATAGAATCCTTCAGTCCATACTGGTTTACTTTGGTAGTCAACATGTAAAATAAATTGCCCATTGAATTTTCCATTTTTATCTAGAAGGAGGAAATAGATCTCAATCTTTAGAAGAACCTTTTCCTCTGCAACAGCTAAGTGAATATCTAAATGAAGATTCTGAGAACAGGAAAGGTTCAGAATATTGTGACTTTTCTTTTAGTATTTTAAATCTGTATGTTACAGACTAAAAAGTGTTAACAGAGGGACAACATAACATAGCTGGTTTTTCCTATGTATTCCTTGGGTACAAAACCTCTCAGCGTGTCTTTTGCTCTAGGCTGTGTTAACCAAACACTGGTCAAACTGAACAGGCTTCCTGGTGAGGCGGTCGATGCCCCAGGCCTGTCGGTGTTTAGGAGGCATTTGGACAGGGCCCTTAATAACATGCTTTAAATTTTAGTCAGCCTTCAATAGATCAGGCAGTGGGACTGGGTGGTCACTGTAGGTCCCTTCCAAGTGAACTGTTCTATTTTTATCCCTTATTGCAGTTCAGGATGCATCTGAAAAAGTCTTTTAGTGGGGAGTTTTTTGTGTGTTTGTTTTCCGCCTGTAATCACATACCTGGCAAAGTGTCAGAATATGTAGGGATATGCTCAGGTGGAAGGTTAAATCATAGCTTCCTAGGGGTTTTCTTTGAAGTTGATGATAGCAAGTGTAGGGCTTAGATGGAACCCTATTAATCTGGATATCCAAGTGGCCCAGCAGTGTGACAAACAATCCGTGAAGGAGGGCAGCAAGGAAACACCAAGGGTGCAGAAATACTGAGATCCAGCCTGCAGGAGGAGTTTTTAGACAAGTCCTGCTCAGTGGTTAGAGAGAAAACAGACTTCCTGTTCTCTGTAACTAATTTGTACATAACCATATCATCTCTTTATTTTCTTCCTAATGAAAACAAAGTTATGTATTATGAATGGTTACTTAATTGTTCAAGAGAATAAATAGAAAGGGATAACCGTGTGTCCTATTATAATGATTGCTCTAAAACAGTTTGGAATTTTTTTTTTTTTATTTTTTTTATTAGTATTCCCCCCCCCCCCAAAATGGTTACTGTTTCAAAATGTATTACTATTCCCCACAGAAAGAAGTGATACAACATTCAGATATTATAATTTACAATAAGCAGTATTTCATACCACAAACAGTGTTGTCATATAGAAAGGGAATATACAGAGGGTGAAATACTGCTCACTGGAAAATGGATTCACCTAATGACACTACTGTATGTTTTAAGATCAAAATTAGTTGGCTCTGATGATTGTGTTTATACCTTGCTTTACAGGCTCAAGGTTTGTGGAACTTATTTTGCACATTGGAGCTCCCACTTATCAAAATTCTGGCAGGTATGAAAGTTCAGTTCAAAGTAAGAATCTTCACTATTTTCACACAGCTGCCGACTATGCTTAAGTGGAATGTAATACATCAGAACATGAAATGTTTTCTTAGCCACATGACAGCTGTGTGGGTTTGAGATTCCCTTTCTAAGAAGTATGTAAGATTGAAATTGTCAATTGTAAATGTTCTCAATGTATAATTGTATTTACAGTGATGGAAACACACAAAATATATGTGAACAAACAAGAACTGAAAAAAACATCGGAGATTCTGGGGGTAACTTTTGTATTTATTTTTCTTTTTGAAATTGTATAGCATCATCTTTGTGCTTTTACTGAGGATAGCTAATTAAAAAGAGAAGGAACCTTTGTCACTTTTAATCTAAGTTTGGGGTTTTAGTATTTTTATTATTATAAATGTAACTAATGACATTTACATTTTAGGATAACTCACTTCTTATTTAGATGAGTAAAAAAGAGATACTTGCTTCATTAGCCTTGCCCCAGAACTGAAATTGCTTTGCAAAATGTAGAGATCCTTTTGTGTTGTATGTTGTAGACTAGAAATGATGACTCTTCTGAACCTGATTTTCAGTAGCCATCTTCCTGAGAAGTGGCTCTCAGTGGTTCTCAGTGTCTCTCTTTGTAAACAATATACTCTTTACAACTTACATATTCTTTGATAAAAACAGCTACAAGAGAATCCCATTTTGTGGCATAAAATCTGACCAGATATATTATCATAGATTACTAATTTATCAGAATAATTCACATAGCTCTGTTTCTCACAGATCTCTACAGTCTTCAGTAACCTAAAATCTTTTCCCACAAATGTAAATCCCATTCCCAGGTCATGAAGAAATATAGAGTAAAGATGAAATATAGATTGAATGTTGATAGCCAACCAGCAATGATTACATAATATCAAGTTCTCCATTTTTAAATAAAAGTCTAATATACTCAGTAACGTATGATTTAGCAGATGTTGAAGAAAATAATGATGTAAACAGAATAATTCTGATGTACCAATTTATAGTTGCGGCTCAAGGAGCTTGAACAGGAAGCTCATCAAGTTGCTGGAGAACGGTTCCTGTTGACCAGCAGTTATCAACTCCGAGAGGTAATGTTGGTACTACTGTATTTATTTATGCACATTCTGTAAATTGTTATTGATACAGAAGAACTGTAAAGCATATATATCCTTACAACTTCTGAATTCTTTTCTTCTATATTAATTATCTTATTTTCTGATCTTCATGAGGAGCACGTAGTTTTTCATAAATCTGACAATGTGGGATGATTTGTATTTGAATTAGACATTTGTTTTTAGTAAATACATTACATTACTGTTTCAGTAGCTCAGAAATAAAGATCTGGTCTTTCCAATTCTGTGTGAGTTCTCTTTGCTACGGTATGCTCTATTTGCTATGAAACATGTTCTAGACTAAAGTTCAAGAACCAAATAATTATCCTTTCTATTTCAGCACTTGAAACACTGAAACATTTGTTATGTGTTTTTCTTACTGTAGGTACTATTTGATAAGTTAAAGCTGCATACGCTGTGTGAGAAACTTCAGAGAACTGAAATACAACAACTTGTGTCCACCTCAGAAGCTGTGGTGAGATGGAAGGGAGTTTTAAAACCAGCTGCATGATTTAGCAAAGCTTCTAAGTCATATTCCAGTGAAATTGTGATTTACCTAAAGTTTTCCTAACGATCTTGATTTATTTTTGTATTGTTCTAATTATGCTTTGCATAATTATAGCAGAAAAGAAAGATGTATTCTATGATGGGGAAAAGCACACTAGCTACTGAAGCTAACCTTCAGCTATAAACCAGGGTTAAAAACTTTAATACCAAAATGCCTGTATGACCATCTTCTTCAAAGGAGAGAAACTTTCTTACTGGTCAGATTTTGGTAGCTCAGAATGACTGACTGAGTGACACAGACCACGGGTCAAAGAAAAGAGCATTGATGTAAATTCTGCTGTCAAAGGAAATAGCAGCCCAGACTTCCTCTTTGCCATCAGGAGATTTGGACTAAAACCATGTCGTCATCTTTTTATGGAACCTTAACTCATTCATTAATTTCTGTAGGAGATTACTTGATACCTGTGGTTTGAGTTGAAAGTTACCACTTTCTTTGTATGGCCCAGTGTTTTACTTGTGTGTATGAATTTTCCCGGTTTAATGTTTGTGTTGTTCCCTCTGTGGAGAGGCTTGCCTTCAGTAAGAATGATTGCATTTGGAGTTAGATCTGCAGGATCCTGATACAATCTTTTTCTCTTACAGAAGCAGTGAGCAAACAGTTTAGATACTTTGATACACCTGTACAAGAGATCAAATGTATCTTTAGATGCAGTGTAAAAAATATTGTGCATATGAAGCTCCTTCAGTTCTTTCTTTTGTTGGTGTTGGAGCAGATAATTTTCAGCAATGCAGATGTTCATGGATGATCCCACACAAGTGCAGAAATCTGTCGAAAACATTTGTTTAAAAATGAAGTCAGGACCAAATTGCAGACTTCTTGGTAACTTAAGGCAAATGTGGATGCCTCTTTCTTTTCATAGAATTATGTAGGTTGGAAACAACCTTTCAGATCATCGAGTCCAACTATTAACCAAATACTGCCAAGTACACTCACTGCTAAACCACATCCCTCAGTGCCACATCTACATGTCTTTTAAATCCCTCCAGGCATGGTAACTCTACCACTTCCCTGGGCAACCTGTTCCGGTGTTTGACAACCCTTTTGGTTAAGAAATTTTTGCTAATATCCAATCTAACCCTCCCCTGGTGCAACTTGAGGCCATTTCCTCTTGTCATGTCACTTGTTACTTGGGAGAAGAGCCCGACTCCCACCTGGCTACAACCTCCTGTCAGGGACTTGTGGAGACCAATAAGGGTCTCCCTGAGCCTCCTTTTCTCCAGGCAAAACACCCCCTCAGGTGCTCCTCATGAGACTTGTGCTCCAGGCTCTTCCCCAGCTCCGTTGCCCTTCTCTGGACATGCTCCAGCACCTCAATATCTTTCTTGTCATGAGGGGACTAAAACCAAACACAGGATTCAAGGTGTGGCCTCACCAGTGCCCAGCACAGGGGAACAATCACTGCCCCAGTCCCCCTGGCCACACTATTGCTGATCCAAACCAGGATGCTATTGGCCTTCTTGGCCACCTGGACACACACACTGGCTCATGTTCAGATGCTGTTGACCAGCACCCCCAGGTCCTTTTCCACTGGGCAATTTTCCATCCACTCTGCCCCCAGCCTGATGCACTGCAGGGGGTTGTTGTGACCCAAGGGCAGGACTCAACACTTGGCCTGTTGAACCTCAGACCATTGGCCTTGGCCCATTGATCCAACCTGTCCAGATTCCTCTGCAGAGCCTTCCTGCCCTCCAGCAGATCAACTCTTCCATCCAGTTTGGTGTCATCTGCACACTAATCGAGGGTGCACTCAATCCCCTTGTCCAGTTCATTAAAAAATTATTTTGTTAAGATTATAATAGCAATGGAATTCCTTCTTGGAACAGAAGAAGCCTCTGTGCAGCTGCACTTGTTTCTGATTTGCTGCCACAATTGTATTGCTGTAATTTACATGGGAGTCAAAGTGCACAACTCTTTGAGATTGAAGATTTCTGGGGAAGGTAGAAAGGCAACATTTGTTTCTAAAGGAAGAAATTCCACTTTTCAGCCAAGTGTCTGAACTACCATATATGATCTCAGGTAATGTCAACAGTATAACCATAAAACCCCCACACTACTCAGGAAGAAGGACATTTCATAGATCAAATATGTAATCTTGGAGAATGATAGAGAGCCTTGGGAGATGGGAGGGACCAGTGAAATAGAACGCATGTCATCTTTTTGTTGGAACAAAAGATTTTTTGTTGTAATCAAAGCAACACTAGTGCTAGTCCAGTATTCTCTTTCCAACAACTGCTGAGACTTATTTAGAGAAAGCAGGCTGAAACCTTGCAGTAGATAAATACCAGAATTACTCTTAATATGTTGGCTTTCCCTCGTAGCAAGAAAAAAATCCTTATGCTTTTAAATGTACATTCTAGTACAGTTGCATCTGTTTCTCAGCCTGGACTATTGTAGTTCCAGATATTTTTTGTTGTATGTATGAATATCCAATCTCTATTTTAATAATTTCATTCTTTTTCTTAACAGATTTTTTTGCCGTTTCCAGTCAAAGTGATCAGAAATATACTTTATTTTGTTGCTTTGGGATTTGACAGTTTCAGTTTCTCATGAAGTTTTCCTGGAACTTTTATTAGGGGATGAACAGGAGAAATTCTCCTGTTATATTGTGTGTGGATAAATATGTGTGTGTGTGTGTATTAGTTTTTTATACTTTTATTATGTTCTCTCTTGCTTTGATGCTGCACAGCACAAAAAATAAGCAAAAAACCGTAAGTAACACACACACATCATACCCCAGTGTTTTCAGAGTTGTTGTGGAGAAGTTTTTATGTCTGCATGTCTTTTTGTCTCTGTCTGGGACAGAAAGGGAAATGAGATAGGAAGGAGTCATCTCCAGCCTTCCTAATGAAGGCAGGAAGGAATGAAGGCTTCCTTGGGCCTAGGGTGGGATTGCTTGAAGGATGTAATTCTTTAGCCAATATTTTGTCCATTCAGCTTGTCAAGAAAATTTCTTGCTCCAAAATGCGTTCTGGTAAGGTTTGTTTAATAATATAACTTAACAGAAAAGTATACCAGTAATTTACATTCTTGATTTTGCAGCTACATAAATTGCAAGATCTTCATCCTTTGCCTAAGATAATTTTAGAGTACCGTCAGGTGAGCTGATGTTTTTCACATATTTGTAGTTGCATTGAAGCACAATTAGCAAGAAAGAGAACATATTCATAAAAAAATGGAAAACTGCACTGTTAAATTTGTCTAGTGCTCTAAAGCACACTCTTAGGGCAAAACATTTATTTTTTGAGTTCTCAATAAATACTTTGCATTACGTGAAGGAGATAATTAGTTATGGGGGATTTTGGGGTGACAAACCTCCTGAAAATCCAAAATGACCTAGTTAGTCTGCTCTCACACTTAACATTTGGGTTTTGAGTGGGTTTTCAGTTGGCTTTTCTTTAACACCAATAATTTAAAAAACCCCCGACAAAACAAATGTGAGTTTATGTTTGGTTTTGCTTTTTTGTTTTGTTTGGGGGTTTTGTATGTGGCTTTTTTTATGTTGTTTATTGATCTGGGGCATAAGATGTAAAATAATAAATTCCAATAGTTCAATTACTAGTATCTGCAAATTCCTGGCTTTATGTTATAACCGAACACTTACCTAACTTATGCTAATAGGTTAAGCTATTAAAGAGTACAAATCCATTATTTACTAAAATAAAACTGACTTTTTAAAAAAAAAAAGTCTAAAAAACCAGTTCATATGCTTTTGGAGAGTAAGATCTTTAATTTGAAAATTCTCTTATTTTTATAAGTAAGCATTTATTTTGAAATTTATGTATTTTAGGTTCATAAGATGAAATCAACTTATGTGGATGGATTACGAACGTGCATGAGAAAGGTAAAAATATATAAAGTAGCTTGTAAAATCCTAAAAGGATGTGAAATTATTGCAGTGTTTACAGTTAAAGAACTTTTATATATGGAAAATTATAAAGTTCAAAAGAACTTTTGGTTTTATAGTTCTGATTGCAATGTGTTTTTATTACTGATGCTTATGTTAAATAAAATTTAGCTGTGTGTCTTCATAATTTTCTTTTTTTTTTATTTTTTACTTTACTTAATTACAGGGATTTATTTCCTCTACATGGAATCAGACAGGAACTGTGACTGGCAGACTTTCAGCCAAACATCCTGTAAGTGACCCTATTGGAAGATTTACATTTTAATTGAAAAATTAATGTTACTTATATAAAATATGTAATATTTTTAACACAAGAAATGTTTGTTTTCATGCAAGTCTAGGAGTTGCTGTATTGTGTCTAAATGGTGGATAGAAAAACTTATTAAATAAATGGGTGTTTTACTCTAGAACATTTGTTCTTTGGAATACTTTATGTTATCCCTGCATCAGAATTAACATTATTACCTGAAGTAGAGGGGTATGATTGTGGGCCATACACTGAATACTTCTTTGTAATGAATTCCTGGTGTTCATGAGCCACTTGTAAAAGATCAGTGAGGCCTGGAAGGTAGGTATTACAGAAAAGAAGGAAGCTCTTTTTTTTCTGTAATTTAGGTTCAGGCCTCATGGCAGTCCAGGGCTAAACTGGCAATGCTGGTGCTCTGGAGGCCTCGCTTGTATGCATGGCTGTGACACGTGGGCTCTTTGTGCTTCCTCTCTTGGCTCTGGTTATGATGATCTCCATGTACATGCTTGTGCCTGAAACATGTTTTATTTGGCTTTCTGGAGTGTTACAGGCTTGGATTCTCTTTTTTTTTCTTTTTTTCCCCTGAAGGGCATATTTGAATGTATTCTATGATCCTGTTTCTCTGGGAGTTTGGGGTGCATGCTGCCCCTTGGCTGTACAGACTGCTGAGGTCTTGGCATTCCCACTCTGTCACAGGGTATGGCTGCATGGATAAGAGTGCAGGACCTGGTGTGGGAGGACACAGGGCTGCTGAGCTTCAGGGGCTCAAGCCAAGGCGTAGGTGCAGGAATAAGAAGAAAAGTAGTGACTGCCTGCCTGGGGACATTTTCTGTTTGGTTTAATCATGGCTTTTCTTAGCAAAGACCTGGCCTCTAACCCTGTGGGGGAAGGGGAATAGATGCAGAGATGAGACTTGGCTCACAAAGGCCAGGGGGAATCCATGAGGCCATTGTCCTTTTAACTTGTGCTCCCAAGTACTGTCAGTCCTTATCCATGCAGGTTTGCATATAGATGCATATCCATGCATATCTGTCTATGCATGTCCCAACCTTAAGCATTAGGAGCTTTCTGCAGTCTTGAGAGAAAGGCCATGGTCTTCCACAGCTCTGTGTGGGAGCAGAGATGCTGGACATGTTACTGATGTTGTGACCACTTGGCATGGGTGGGTTCATGAGGCTCCTGGCAAGCCCTGCCTGGAATGGTGACTTTGGAGTTCTGGCAGAAACCTGTCCTGGGAGAGGTTCTCACCCTCACCATATTGGTGACTTCCTTAGCTTTTCTTTCACCTTCCTTCACAGTTCAGGTTTCATTTATATATTCCTACCCTCGTGGAGCATATTTCTGTACAATTTGTCATCAAACAGTTTTTAGGAAGTGCTTGTGCTTTTTGCTGAGTGAAAAAGAGTGTTTAGGCTTCTGAATTAACCACAGAGTGGAGAAGTGTTACTGCTGCTCTCGAATCTCATGCACCCAGATTGGAGACAGTGATGGGAGAGAACGGAAAAGATGATCATGAAGGTCCCAGTTTGCTGAATTCTGTGATGTGATGCACAGGCATTTCCGAGTCAGAGCTGAGCAGACAGCTGTCTTGAGCAACCACATACAGCTTAAAGTGACCTCTGGCCCGTCATGGTAAAAGTGACACAAAAGCTTATTTTTCTTAAAAGTTGTTTTTCTCCAAAATAATGCTGCTAAAGTTAGCATCCAGGGTTGCCTCAGGCTGGCTTTTCCTTTTAAGGAAAAACATTGGCATGGCTTTTTTTGTTTGAAATGTTTATGGAACTTATACCATCTGTTTCTGAATCATTTATCGATATGGAAGATATACTGCAGTGCCCAGTCACTTTGCTAAGTGTTAAAGGATTGGGGAGGTTCTTGCCAGAAATCATAAATATTGAAGGTATTTTTGCAGTTACTATGATATTATGTGAAATTTTGGCTGAATATTTGCTGAGATAGTTTATTTTTAACTGTTTTAAAATGCTTTAAGAAGTGATTAAGCAAAAGATAGGTGTGAATCAGATACAGTGAGAATTCAAATAGAAAAAACATCCCCTTTGCTTCGGTGGCTGTGAGAGATGGGGTTCCAAACAAAGGTTTCTTTATCTTTTCTTCTGTAAATGTAATGGATCTATCTGCCCTCTTTCCTTTAAGGCATTTAATGGAGTCCAGGAAGGATTTACTTACAGGCTTAAGGGGATATGACTAGACATTAGGTGCAGAACAGGATTTCTTTTTCAGATGCTCTACTGTGATCAGACAGATCCACATCTGACGTATGGATGATGTATATTTTTGGCTTTATGTGGGTTTTTCTCGATAGATAAGTTTATTCACATGAATTTTTATGACTTTTGTGTTGTAACAACTTAGAGGGGGTTTCTTAGCAGAACTTTACTGCAGTGGCTCTCCATGTATTCCTCTTTTTTAGTTTAATTGTGCACTCCATTTCTTCTCATTCGTTTTCTTTTTCTGCAATATGTGTGGTGTATAAATAATGCATTTTTCACAAATAACAAGGTGTTATTGTAGCACATTTTTGAATAGGGACACATTTGATACTGTAGTCTCCTGCCTATAGCATTGTAGTTCTCTATTTTCTACTCCATGGGACCTGAGTATCTAAAAGTAAATATAAACCCTAGAATTCTTCAGTCAAATGACTTTGTAACATATCCACAGGCTAGTTATTTTCTCCACTCCATGATGGATTGCTTATGACTATTAGGGGAGATTCATTAGGTTTGTTATTTGAATATGTTGTTTTAAATTACTTTTTGCATAAGCATACTGATCTTGACTACATTAGGGTACTCCTTTATTATATTGCTCATAGATAACTTTCCTATTAAATATATTTATGGCATTCATAAAAGCTTATGTTCTCCAAACCCATGTTGAATACCTCTTTCCAGCCTCTCATGTTTTAAAGCAAAAATAAGTCCAGACCGAAGTGGAAAAGCATAAAGCCAATTAAAATCAAGCCTCTTTCAGAATGAACAGAGAGAAATCCTAATTTGAGATATAAAGATTGCATACAACTGGATGTTCTAATTTGGTTTAAGATGTAAACTTCAGTGCGAGAATCAGATATTCTGTATTAAGGTTTCTTTCCTCCAGGCTTCTGCAGCAGAGAGAACTGAAATGCTGCTAATGAGTTTATGCTTCTCTACTTCAGAAGATGTTTGTATCATTAAGCTAAAAAGCATGAAGTGGTGGGCTTCAGGGGGCATTTCCTTTTAGTAACAAAAAGTCAGGCTGAAGATAAATAAAATTTTCTACCTTCTTGGAGCAAGTAGAAAAAAATAAAAAAGCATTCCTATTTCTCCCCAGGAAAAATGCTTTTACAGCTTGTCCAAAAAGGCAAAGAAATAAAATAATTTAACCTGTCAGCTCAAAGAAACATGTTAGCCTTTAATTTGGAAAGCAGGAATGTAATTTGAAAGGAAAACTAATTAGGGCATATTGAATGTTAACAAGCTTAAAGAAGGATCATAAAGAACCTGAAATATTGAGTATATCTCAGTATCTTCAACAGATATAAATAAGATTTTCTGGTAGGGAATTCATGATAGAGAATTGCATTCTGGTTTTTTACAGAATGTGTGTTACGGGTAGTGTTTGGAACATGAATAATAAATTACCCATCTGGTTTTCATTCTAATGGGAAAGACAATGTCTTGAAGTAGAGATCCCTCTGAGCAATTGCTATAAAAAATTACTCTTCCATCAGTTAACTTAGCAAACCAGTATTTCTGGTTATCCATACTATATCTGTGTCACTTCCTTCTGGGCTGGTTTTTGGAGTGAACAGACTAATTTTCTCTGAGATAAAACGGAAATGTAGGGTTTTTTGGCGTAGTTTTGGGATCATTCCTGGACAGTGTGGATGAGATGCTGCCTGTTTGTCTCCGTTTCATGGCACTATCCCAGTAGGTTTTACATCCTGAGCATACCCACATGTGCAGTCCTAGCAGGGTGGATTGACAGAATTGTGCTTCCAAACTATTCTGACAGCTCTCAAATTCCAGGCGTTTTGTCCAAGGCCTCATTAAAGCTACAGGCTGATCTGTGATACAGCAAATACTCTTTCTGAAAGTTTGAAGTCTGTAATCACAATTGGATTTCAGCAGAAATGGATGTTCTACAAGGTGTCTTAATAGTGATGAGGAAATTTGCAGTGTCTCGTTTTTCCACTGTCCCTTTCCTTCACCGCTTTTAGGAAGTTTGGCAGAGCTGATGCAATGTGAGGAGCAAGACACGAGTCTGGGAGCAAGGATGTGATTGCATCTTTGGGTTTTTTTTCCCCCCAGAAGTGAACCAATAACTTGTCTGCTTTTGAAGCTGCACTGTTAGGAACATCATTTTTGTAAACTTCTTTTCATACACCATCCAGCTGAAAAGAATGTTGAATTGGATGGACAACATGGGTCTTGCAATTGCATTGACTTTAGAGTGTGTTTTCTTTTTTCTGTTTTTTTTCTTTTTTTCTTATTTTCTTTTTTTTTTTTTGAGTATATTTAGTGTAAAGCACTGGGGATAGAGACACATAAGACACATTACAAGCTCACATAAAAAATCTTATCAGAAGTCTTCTATAAGGTCACATAGGCTAACAAAATAATTTTTACCTAAGTATGCTCTAAGTATGCTTTTACCTAAGTATGGGGTTCACTAAAATAATGGTAGGTTGTCTTCACAGACATGAGGATGTCTGTGTTTTCTTGGTCCCTTGAGCCAAAGCAATTCAGTGTTGTATTTTCTAGCCAGTAAAATACACTGTTGCTCAGAGGAGCTGCTGTGCTGTTAGAGAAAGCCAGAGTGCACATCCTGTTTGTTGTATTGGTCGGTGTTCTCTGAGCATCTCTTGCATCCAGAACATATTTTTGTGCCATGTTTCTTTTCAGTAGATTTATTCCAATACTCTTGAGTCATATGGTGATTATGACACTGCACAAATAGCACTAAAATAGTATCTCATTTTA